TCCTCCATTTGGGAAGAGCCAGGGGCCCTCTGCCTCTGGTTTGGAGGTATCCTCACTGTCATCCCATCCACTTTTCCTGTAATCTTCTCTTTGGCAGATGCCCACGGGTGGAAGAGGGCTAAGGGAGAGGAAAGAGTGAAAGTGATGACCTTTTACCCCTTCCAGTCCGCTCAGAAGTGGCTGGAGTGTGCTTCTGCTTCTTCAGGGATGACCCCGGGCCGATGACTCTAAACAGCCCCTGGGCAGAGCAGGGGCGGCCTGTCCTCAAGCAGAGCTGTGGTCTCTGGCCTCTGGCCTGCTCTTCAGCTCATTTCTCACTTCCCTGTGCAGCTGTGCTTCCACCTGATTCTGTTTCCAGTGCCTTCCCCCTCTACCCTATGCTACCCCATCCTACTCCATGAATACTGCTGTTTTCAGGATTCAGCAAAAGTTGTCACTCATGCATGAAGCATTGCCTGATACACACTCCTCCCCTCCTGCAGGGTTGCCCCCTCCTAACCCCGTGTCCCCACTGACAGGTCAGTGTCCTGGCCACCTGCCGCAGCCCTGCCTTCACAGGTCTCCCTCCTCCCATTGTCCAGAAAGGGGTGGAGGGCAGAACCACAGCATCTCTTCCCTCTTGGTTTCTGGCCTGGTGTTGGGAACACAGATACACACTGAAATGTCTGTCAGAGGGATAAGCAATAGGCACTGGTGTGTTGCTCTTCTCTTCTCCCCCCGCAAAGATAGCCTGAAAGTTCCTTCAGCTACTCGTCTCATCTCTGCCAGCAGCAGTAGAGTGTTTGGCCCCAGGAGATGTTCAGTCAGAATTCAAATGAAAGATCACCTTACCCTTTGGATGCTTCTGCACCCTTCAGCCACCTGTGATCTAAGAGCTATCCATCTCTCATCCTGGTGTTGGAGAACCCAAGCCTTAAGGCAGATAACTCTGCCTGGGGAGACTTCAGAGCTGCCACGGCAAATTTAGATCAGAGCTGTAGAGAATCTGCTAGAACACACTGCAGAAGACAAGCTTAAGGAGAGCTTCTGCAATTACTTAAAACAAGGAGTTGTTGAGTCATCCTTGGACACCACCTCTCCTGATCGTCCCATGTGGCACTCACCTTGGTGAATTTCTGAGCCCACACTTGCTTCTCATGGTTGGTGCCACTTCCCTAAGATTGAATATCGACCTAGCAACCCAGAAGGCCTGAGACTCCAGACAGAAAGATATGCAATACTAATGTTTACTTTTGTATCATATTTCAGTGGTTAAATTTTACCTCTAACACATTCTCTGAAAGTAAAAACTATTATCCAATTTCTGGTTTTCTCTCCATGTTTGAGAGTAGCAAAGCAGAAGTTGGAGGTAAGGGGCAAAGGCTTTTAAAGCAGATATGTGAGGTGTGTTGGTACTAACACCTTTGTTTAGGCTCCATTGAGGCTGTGTTTGCTCAAAAGGCCTTTGTCCACCTTGACTTTGTCAGCAATGGTGTGGTGAGCAGTGGGCCTCCACTAGGTGGGATCCTCTCTGGTTCTGGGACTGCTTTCTGCTTCAGAAGAGCTTTGCTGGCATGCTAAGATCAGGATATTCGCGGCCAAAGGCCATCTCTCGAATTCTAAAGGCACATTTAATATTCTACAGGTAACAGCATGGGGGTGCTGTCTCAGAAAAGGACTTGCCATTGACCACTAAAAACTAAGGAGAGTAGTGGCCGATCTGCTTTCTGTGCAAGTTGGAAAACATGGTGAAGCTGTGAACTCCATTGAAATCATTTTTCAGTAAATGTTTACTGAATGCCTGACATTCGTGAGACCCCAGGCTGGGCACTTGGACTATAAAGATGAATAAGACAAGCTGCCTGTCAAAGCACTCTCGGGGGAGGGCAGATACACACAGAAACAGATGATCACAAAACCTGGCACATGCCAGCCAGAGAGAAGGTACCATGAAAGTTTCAGCAAGATGAGTGCTTTCAAATTGCTCACAGAGCAGAGGAAAGAATGAGGGGGACTCTCTGGTTGGAGGGGACACCTGCACATGCAAATGGAAGGAAATTGTGAATGAGCTCGCTGCGTGCAGAGGGCTAGAGCACTGAGTGTCGAGGGGAAGTGGGCCTGGTCAAGGTTGGTGTGGGTCCCATGGGAGCCTCAGAGGGGGCAGTGCCCCCCACACTTGCATTTGTGCCCCTTCTCCAGGGTTCTCTGATGGGCGCCCATTCTGACTCTGGTGCCAGCACTGGTCACCGAGCCTTACTGCGGGTCTGACCTGCCTCTTCCACACCCCAGTGTACTGTTCCGATGACCTGTCTTCTCAGGTCACCCTGAGATGACCTGGTGCCCACGTTCCAAAGAATCCATTTTTAGAGGATTTGCAACAGAAAAGAGTTAAAAAAATAGGAACTGTGGGAGTCTTTTGGAGAGTGGTTTTTGTTTTAATGAATGTGTCACACCATCTTTCAAAGCAAGTAATTAAAGAAAAGTCAGCTGCACTGGCTTTCCCAGGGACTGGACCCTTATAGTCTTTGTGAGAGGGAAGAGTGCTTGGGGGGAAACGGAGAAGTATAAATCTCTAAGGAAGCTCTTCAAACTTGAAAAATTGGGAAATTCTGAAGGCATTAAATTCTCATGAAGACTTCACTACACATATTTTGAGGAGGCCAAACATAGTGCTAACTCAGCAGGTAACCGCCAACTCTCTTCAGTGCCAAATGAAACATTCTTTGTTTCTTTTTGAAGTCATGCAGGGCTATTTTCTTGCACCCGGTGCCTGCGGGGCCTAGGGTGCTGTATGTCTGCTCTCAGTCTTGGCTTTACTGCACAGCAGCTGCTTTCTGCCTGTGGAAGTCTCAGAGACTCGGTGGTCTGCACAGCCCTGCTCACAACCAGGAATGTGGACTCATGGGAAACAAACCCAGGCCTCACAGCAATAGGCCAGGATCGTCCAGCGTCTCGGTGGGAAGACTTCTGCATTTCCCCACATCCTCTTACAATTCATCTGGTGCTTCTGTGTTTCTTGTAATTCAGACTTTTTGGAAAAATTTGGTTTTTATGATTTCACAGACTGCTCACCAAGGTCCCCCTTAGGTACTAATGTGCCCCCTCCCTGGCACCATTGCTTTGTGGGACATGCTTGCTTTCCACACAGAGGTGTTCTACTGATGTCTGTGCCTCAGCTTCCCCAAGGGGGCCAGTCCCATGAGATCAGATGAGATGTAAGGATCTGTTACTGTTACTTTGCTTCGTTTTCCCAGGACTCACCTGCCTTTATTCACATCCCCACAGTTCCTCAGAGGATAGATCCTTGTGTGGGTTCTGTTTTGTGTCCCCTGTTGACCATTACCCACAAACTGTGAAGCAGCACAGTCTTACCCCAGAAGACCATCGCTACAGAATCCGTAAGCATCCTTGTGGCTCACCTGAAGATTCCCTTCTCCTCCCAAGATTTCACGAGCATTCAGAAATGTTCAGGTACCGGCTAGGGAGGGCTTCCAGAGCCTGGATTAGTCCCATCCCAGTGCTTACTTGCTTTGTTGTTTATTCAGCCGGTGTTTGTGGAACCCGTGCTGTGTGTCAGGCACCGGCCTGGAACTTCGTGCTTCCAGTGGGGCTGCCTGTGCGAGGGGCCCAAGCCCAGCGCTGAGGCTGTCACACTCCCAGTGGGGGCCATGCTCCGGGACCCTATTTTTCTAAGGCTTGTTTTATTCATTTAAGATGTTTTTACATTTTAAAATCATACTTGACATAGTGTATTAGTTTCCGTTGTAAAACAGTAGCTAGACGTTTACATGCCTTACAAAGGGAGGAGCACCGTAACCAACTGCAGTGACCATCCACCGCCGTACGTGGTTATTGCGATACTGCTGACTGCGCTCCCTGTGCTGTACGTTGTGTCTCGGTGACTCATTTTATAAATGCAAGTTTGCGTTTCTTAATCCCTTTCCCTTTTCCACCCACCCCTCCCCTCTACCCTCCTGCCCTCTGGCAGCCATCCGTTTATTCTCTGTATCTGTGCATGTGTTTCTGCCTCGTTTTGTTTGTTCATTTGTTTTGTTTTTTAGATTCTGTGTAGAAGTGAAGCCATACAGTATTTCTTTCTCTGTCCGACGTATTTCACTTAGCACAGTGCCCTCGGGCTCATTCATTTTGTCACCAGTGTCAGCATCTCATTCTTCTTTATGCCTGGCTGAGTGGTACTCCACCGCGTGCGTGCGCACCACATCTTCTTGGTCCTTCTGCGGACCGACCGATGGGCGTCCGGGCGCCGCCACATCTCGGCTGTTGTGAGCGATGCTGCAGTGAACAGGGGGTGCTTGTATCTTTTTGATTTCATGTTTTTTTGTTTTCTTTGGTTAAATGCCCAGAAGTAGTATTGCTTTAAATATATCCTGTAACAGAATTTTTTGAACTTTTCTAGGAGCAGCCACGGTAATGTTGTTCGGATGCTGAAACTTCTCAGAATTTTCAGTGGCCTCTGGTTTAAATCAGAAAAGATATTTGAAATCTGGACTGACTAGGAAAACACAGGTGGTGCAGTTTCCGGTCATGAAAATCAATCCCAGCTGCCTCTTTAAAAATATGTGTTGTAATTTTTTCTTTTGCACTCAGATATTCTTGGGCAGGTGATATTATATGACATTTTGTACCCAAAGCCATTGTATCCTTCAAAAAAAAATTTTTTTAAAACACAAACATTTGTGTATCACCAGTATCTTTTTCATCTGGAGCTTCAAGTTTGACATTCAGCTTCTGCTGTATTTGACCACTTGACCTTAAGTGGTGGGGGTGGGGGGAGCGGAGCGCTAAGGGCGTCCTTCAAAATATGGCAGGAACTTAAAACCTGATTGACCCAGACCTTCTGTAAACATTTGGCAAGTGCTTTCCAAAGAGGCGTCCCCTCCGCTGCACTGGCGGGTGGGCTGTGTGCGGCCCTCCCCTCTGCGCTCGCTCGGTCGTGGCCTGAAGGCCGGTGCTTCCAGGTCCCTCAGGTTCTCACTGTGTGCTCCCTTGCTGTGTTCCAGTCTCCCTCTCCGGGCAGCGCCTCGCCCCTGGGCGCGGAGTCTTCAAGCACACCCCTTCATCCCGGTGACCCCACGGACGCCTCCACGAACAAAGAGGTAGGTAGGGCGCTGTTTCCTTCCAAAAGCCGTCAGCCATTTTCTTCCATTCTGATTCTGGTTCACGCCTTCTCCAGCCTCCCACGGAGCTTCTGCCCCAGAGTCCCCTGGGGAGGAAAATTCCGTTGTCTCCAGCATGTAATTCAGTGATTAAACCCATGACATCCAATTTGGTAGCTACTAGCCACAGATGTCTATTTCAATTGATACGTGAAATGCAAAGCTCACTCCCTCAGGCACACTGGCCACATTCCCAGTCCTCGGGAGCCACACGTGACTGGTGGCTGCTGTTTTGGACGGGGCCATCCCAGAACATCGCCACCAACTCTGGCAGTTCCCTTGGACGGTGCTGGCCACCAGCCACCAAAAACTCTCTGTAGAAGCATCCTTCCTCGTGGTGTTACAGGCCTCAGGTAATGTGGGCTTGCAGTTGCTGTGTAGTTAGGGAAATGGGTTGAATTTTTTAAAAATGTCCACTTATCTTAGGCTCGAGTGAAATCTCTTTCATGACGACAGGGTAGTCACTTGTCCCAGTTTAGCATGGGTCCAGTTCACACCTGCTGCCTGGCAGCACACCTGGCAAGCTCCCCATCACTCTCCACAGCAGTGTTGTTCTGGGAACCAGCGGCAGCCTTGCAAAGGTTCGCCCCTGTCCCGGCCTCCACAGTCGTCACCAGCCACGTGTGACCAGCAAGCCCTCCCTCATCACGTGGCTGGTGGGGCTGAGGACCTGAATTTTTCATTTTAGTCAATTTTAATTAACTAAAATAGCCACGTGTGGGAAGGGACTCCTGGACCAAGCATCCCTGAAGTATCCCCTCTTAGGGAGGCCAGGCTGGCTGGGCAGAGACCACGTGAGCAAGAACGTGCTGCTTGCTCCCACTGAGCACTCCAGGGTAAAAGGGCAGGTGTTTTCCCCTGAGGGAAGTCACCGCCTTCTCCAGCACCGTCATCTGTTGACATCCAGCTAACTGCCACCCCCACCTTTTTATAAACTAGCGTCAGGTAAATACTGGCCTGCGTCACACTGCGTGCATGGGCCCAGCTTGCTCTAAATGTAGACGCTGCCTAATCGACCCTGGAGACATGTGTAGGGAGGTTAACCACATGAGGGATGGCTCATTTCCTCCCACCGTGCTAATAATTTTACGTTAAACAGCAATGGAAAAAGCAACCTCCATTTTAACCTGAGTGGCAGATTACTACTAAAGGGAGCCTTAGCTGAAATTTAAAGTATCATCGAATGCATTTACATCTGCCATTAAATACACTTACATCTGCCATTAAACAGCCATATAAAGGAGAAGTATATTTTTTTTATTTGTTCATATTAAAGCAAACAAACATAAGGGGAACCTTCCCAGAAACAACAACATCAGAATTCAGATTTGAAGTTCACTTTGTCCTCCTCTGGTCTCGGTCCTCAGGCCACAGGCCTAGACTGACGGGGTCATGGCCTCTGCTGCCCCTGCACCCACAGCCGTGCCTTGTCCGTCCCTCACAGCACATGGAGAGGTGAGAACAAATGGCAAGGAGAAAAGAGTGACAGCCATGGTGATCATAGTAACAGCAGTGAGTTACCATTTCTTGAGCATTCACAGTGTTCAGGCACCAGGCCAAGCAAATCACAGATAGTGTCTCATTGAATTCTGTTCTTCTATGTCCTATGTATTGGTTGAGGAAGCTGAGAGGTTGAATAGTTATCTGAGGTGCCAGGGCTCACAACTGGTGGGACAAGGATTTGAACCCAGAGCACCCGTGGGCTCAAGCTGCTAACACCAGGATCTGCCGTCCCTGGAGTAAGAAGTGCCGGCAGGGCACACACTGCATGGACAAGGTCGCTTGTACAACATGTCATCGTTCCAGGCTCTGCCTGTGGGTGGTGTGGCCTCATGGAAAATTCCAAATATTTTGGCTTTTATCTTCCTGAATGTAGTTTTATAATTTTTTAATATTAAGGATTAACAAATGTTCATCTCTGCCCACATATGAGAAAATAAAGGGCTAATCAGGCATCTGGATATTCAACATTTGATTATTCATCAGCTATAATAAGCAAGACAAATTTGTTAGCTTCTAAGTTCCTACAGGATTTGGCACATTTCTATATATCCTTAGAAATAATGATGAAAATCCTCTTTGTGTGCAATAATTAGAAATTCTTTCATTTCACAAAACTCTTTTTAAAAAAATCAAAAATTTACTACCCCAGAGTCTAAAGAAAGCCAGTCAGGAGCTCATGAATAGGGAAGAAGCAAATGCATCAAACGCCCTCCATTGTAGCTCTAAATAAAGCAGCAGTTTTTAGAGAGTTCCACTGAAGTAATTCTTCTGTAGTTTCCATTAAAATCAGGACACTGTCCTTGAAAGTAGCATGCAGAAAAGTACCCTAATGGCCAAGAAAATCTGAATCTGCTTCTTGGAGATATTTGGAGGCGTAACCATTTTGATTAAACAAAGTAAATTCTTACTACCCCAGACCCTTAGCAGCTGAAGACAAGGAGAGAGATGGTTAGGGAATGATAATGTGGACATTTGGAGCCCTTATAAAGAAGCTGGCTTCCGCCAGCGTGCCCTGAAGTGAGGGAGTGTTTTTCTTTAAACCAACCGGAATTAGGCAGACTTGGCTGTTGGATCTCACCTGGGCCCGTCTTCTCATTTGGATAAGTAGACAGTAAGATTAATGTAAAATGCTATTGAAATTGGATTTCTCCTTGCTCTTACCCCTATATCTTGGCTTTTGCTTGGTGTGCATTCTTCCATGAAATGCATCAGCAGCCAATAAACTTTTATTCCCTGCGGACTTGTGTCTGTAGTTTCTTGGAAGGTGATCCTTTCCTAAAGCAGAAACCCACCCTCTTCGCTGTGAGGAAGCACTTCATCCCAGGGAGCACCCCTGCAGCGGGTCACTGGCAGGTTGCCTGGGCAGCGATGGCGTGATCGGTGTTGAGTTCTTGTCGTTGTCCTGAACTGAGGGAGAGTCCTAAACCGAAGTGTCTCCACTGCCCCCACGTTTTCACGTAACAATTGACACTACTATTTTTTAGAATTTTGTACAAGTCAACTAATGAATCATCCCTTTGCCATTCCCATCTTCCAAGTGAAGAGCACTTCAGTATGAAGTACCACGATAGGGCAGGGTTCCCCTTGACATCCCAGCCCTCGTGCAGGGTGCTTCGCCCTTGCAGTCCCCCAGGCACCCCAGAAGGTCCCCTCAATTCAAGTCCACCTGATGATCAGCTGTGCTCCACTAGACACTCTTTTCCTAAAAGGCACACATTTAAATGATCACCCAACCCCTGGTAGGTTCTGAGCAATGAAAATCTTCAGGCTTTCTGAGGATGACCCTTGGCCATGCCTGCCATAGTTTTGCCCATTTTAGGGACTCGTGTCTTTGACATTAGCTCCCCACGCCCCTGCAATGGTCACATCACCCTGCCCCAGACAGACCAGCTACACACTCCATTCCTGGTGGAAGTGGGAATGAGCTTCCTACTCTTATGCCACCCAGAGTTATTTCTAGGATGTGCGCTTGTAAAAGGAACCAAATGGTAAGTGTTGCTCCTCGGAGAGCTAGCATTTAAGGTGCTGTCCAGTCAGGTTCTAGAAGGTTTCCAGTTGGTCACACCCCCTTCCAATGGTGCTTTTGGAAGGCTGATCGTTGCTCCAAATTGTTACTTAATATACAAATTCCAAGGTTTTTAATTTAATGCTTTGTTCATTGTGTTCTTATTTTAAGGTAACACATGATAATTGCATGTATAATGGAATTTTTTAGCTAAAATAAATCTGTAAGGGATGAAGAGATAAAAAACTCTAGCAGATGTTTTTAGCGCTGTGAGAGATCACTGCAGCAGAGACCTAGTGTGAAATAACATTCTCCAAGGGAATTCTTAACTTCAACACATAATTATGCTGGTGCTTTCATTAATCAGCAGTTTTTGCTTAGAAACACACATTCTTAAGAACAAAAATTAAGACCTTTTATGGCTATTGTGGATTATGAATTTTGGTTTATGGGATATATTTTAGGCTGACAGACATCTTTCTGTGGAATGTTGAGTTTTCAGATTATCTAAAATATGAATGGGTGGTCCTGAGTGTTGGGTAACCTTTAATAAGAAATGCATATGTTTATTTACACTTCACTTCTGTAACCAAAAATGGTTGACAGCTGGTTAATATCTGCCACCAGTGATGTATTTATTTGGTATGTTGCATAAATGGTTGTGTTAATGCATTTGTCATCACGCATTGCCCTTTTTGAAACCTCTTTGTCTTAATTACAGTCAAGAAAAAGCTTGGCTTCCTTCCCAACCTACGTTGAAGGTAAGAACCGAAAAAGAAGTATTGAGCACTGAGTCATTCATGAATCTTTTAGCATTTTGAGTATTTGAAGCGCTGGGCCGGAAGACAGTGGAGAAGAAAGGCCACAGAGCTAGTTAACTCACAGTCTAAGCAGTCTGAGAAACTCAGACTAAAAGGACAACAGCTGTGAGTCTCCAACGTCCTCCCCCTGGCCTTTGCTGATTCTGTTCTTCAGAAGCGGAGCTGGGGTCGGGGCTTTGCCTAGCTTGGCAATGATCAGAGTGGATCCGAAACCCAAGTCTTCCTACCTTTTCCCCAGTCCACCTCTGGCATCCATCAAGGACTATTTAAGTGGGAATAAGCTTTATTTAGCTAAGTGGGAGAAATTTTGGTCCTTAAAATTTCACTTAAAAAAGAAAAAGACTTTCCCAATAATTCTTCTCTCTTGCTTGGATGGGCTAGTAATAGAAACATTTATTAAGCTCTTAATTTTTGCCATGTACGATTCTAAGCACATTCCATGCGGAGATGAACCGAACGCTCACATCAGCCTCCTAAAGTGGGTTTTATCATTATCCCCATGTTATGTACCAGAGGACGGAGGCATCAAAGGGCTGAGCACCTGTCCCAAGATCGCGCAGCCGGCAAGTAGCTGAGCCAGGCTGTGACCTGACAGTCGGCGCCACTGTCCTCCCTGTATTCCGTGCAGGGCTGCCGCGTGTGGCTGTGCAGGCTATTCACCGCGCAAGGACTTTCTCAGGAGGCCTCCTAGGGCCAGAACTCACCCACCCTGGGCACCCCAGGTTTGAGGCTGGGCCACACCACTGGAGTGCCGACTTCTCATTCGCACAAAGACACCCCTTAGCTAGAGGACACACTGATTCCCTACCAGGCAGATGGCAGGTGCTCTCTCCAATAGGATGGGTTGTCATTTCCTCGAAGGAAGATTTCCTGGGGCCAGAAAACACCCAGGCATCACTTTGAGGTCATCTCTGGCCTTTGGATTCTGTGAGTAGGCAGTTGGTGTGTTCTACTGCCTGGGAATGAAACATCTTTGAATGTTCAGGTCTGAAGCCCAAAATGTGCTTATAGGTGAGGTTCAGTTACTCGGGTTTCACTCTTGAGTAACCTGTAAATTATCTGTGCCATTTCTGAGAAGCTCCAGAATTCCACAAGAGCACCTCGGGGAGTTATTGGAAGTTTGGAAACTCACTCTTCCTCACATCCAGTCCTCCAGGCTTAGCACTAGCACGAGGGTGAAGATATGTATGGGGTGTGTGCAATTGTTCACTTGCAGAGCAACACAAAGGCCTCCCTGGAAAAGAAATCGCTCTCTAAAAGGCCAGAGTCACACCTGTACTTCCTTAACCTAGGAACATTATGGCTTTAATTTTCTTAACTTAATAATACTCTTAACACCTGAGCCTAAAAAGAATGTATGAAATTAGGGTCCTTTTTTTCTGGGTGTGAGAGAGTGACAGTGACATTTGATTATAATCATTTTCCTGGGAGGATAAAGGGCATAAGACCATACCGCGAATGCGTAATTTGTTTGGATCCAACATTTCTGTCTCTTGGCTGCTTGGCGTTCACACAGCCACATAACTGTTATTCGGGTTGCTCTGGAACATACCTGCACATCCAGCTCACCGGGGCTCGGGGGTCCTTCTCAGTGAGTCAGGCTGAGTCAGAGATGAATTGAGCACGCTATTGGGAGTGCTGTAAAGAGGCGGTTAATTTTTACCTTTCTTTGACATTCATTATTTCCACAAATAAATGGAACGTTTTTCAAGGTTACTATCCCATCACATGTGAGATCTTTCCCCCCAATACTGGTTGGCAGAAATGCATGTGTTTAAGTGACATTGGACTTCCATCACAGGAATTTAACGTAGAAGACTGAGGATCTTTCACATTTTACCAAGCGCAGGGTGGGCCCCAACTTGTCCATATGTTATTTTAGCTAGGCTACTGCTTCTCTTCTTTACAGCTAAACTGTGTATTGTAAACAGCCTGAATTCACCTCACACATGTAAAGGTTTCAGGGTGAGGAGCACACAGCTGTAGGAAAGAATGTAAGTCCCTGGGATGCAGTGGCAGCCAGCATGGCTGTGCACCACTCACTGACTGTCTCGAAGTCGTTCCTGGAAAGATCAAGGATAAGACAAATAACAGGCTTTCTTATTTAATTACTATACAGATGCTTTGTGAAGACATTTCCTAAAACATTGTTAATTTCTTTGTTTCAACTGCCACCTTGGTTTTGGGGGGAAAAGTGAATAGATTTTTTTTAAATCTGTACCCTGGTAAGTAGCTTACCATGGAAAGCAGCTGTTTAAAGTCAAGATGAGTTCCATGTTTAAGGATAAAAATTAAAACCATTTCAAGCTAGCTCTCTGAAAGGAAAAAGCAAATTGTGTCCATTTCAAGGCCTCTACTTAAAGACCCTGAGGTTTTCTAACTGTGGGTTAAAATGTGGCATTCAAGCCAAAGAAAAGACATGTGTTCACTGCAGAATTAGAATGCCTTTCTTAGTGTGTCTGTCATAAAGTTAGTTGTGTGTTAGCCCCACACATGTTTTAACTCCAGTGGTGCTTACAGGCGATGATGGTTAGACTCAGGCACCTCCACTTTCAACATTTAAAACTAAGCTTTGACTAAAAGGCTGATCAATGAAACAGAAATTCCCATTTCCCTTGGCACTGATCAGTATGCACACGCAGGTCAGGAACTTCCAGTTGTGAGGTCGTCACCGTGAGACCACAGCTCCGGGGTGGTGTCAGCTGTCTGCCGGACCTGGGGCCAGAGGCTCTTGTGGGAACCAGACATTCTGGAACAAGCATCTCACTTTTGAGATTTATAAAATGTATTTCCCCCATCATGGATAAAACAAAGAGGGGGAGCTGTGAATGGGGAGCAAGTCAAGGAACTGCTCACCTCACCATTTGTCAGGCAAACATGTATTTGATGCCCGCTGGGTGACAGATGCGGACTGGACACTGGAGAGCTGAAGGTAACTGTGACATGGTCCTTGTCCCCAGAGAGCGCCCAGTGTAACAGTGAAGCAACAGCCTTCATCAAAACATTTCATGTGTTGTATTTACATAAATATTCACATCATTTCTCTCAGTAAATGGCCTGGGTGAAGTAAGTTACTCTAAGAAAAAATTGTTGCTACTGTTGGAAGACGAGGGCTGAGTGGAGGCAGACACAGATGCTTTAGACTAGCAGGATGGTGCGGCTGTGCGGGGTCTCCCGAACGGCCCCTGGGCCGGGGTGAGCAGTGGGGGAGGGACGGTATGCTGGGGATTTGGCAGACCCTCCCCAGGGCGGCCTCACTCACCGCTGTGTCTGTGTGTTACAGTTCCCGGACCTTGTGACCCTGAAGACTTGATCGATGGAATCATTTTTGCTGCCAATTACCTTGGCTCCACCCAGCTGCTCTCAGACAAAACTCCCTCCAAAAACGTGCGCATGATGCAGGCCCAGGAAGCAGTGAGCAGGATCAAGGTGAGGGATGGTGTGCTCTGCAGGGCAGAGGGCAGAGGGCAGAGGTGGGGGTACCCAAGCCAGCCATGGTGGTCCCCACACCTCACATACCTAGTCCCGAGTTTAAAGGAGAGTGGATTGGGGCGATGTTACAGGCAGTGCTTATACATGTACCTGCCAACAGTTCTGAACAGAAGAGAAAAAGATTTCCAGTGTGTACGGGCGTCCTAATGTATAAATACTGTATATTTGGGTTGTTCATAATGGCCAGTATTGAGAAAAAACACATATGATCGTGAACTTTGAAAAGTTGATACGATGAGGAATGATACCATTTTGAGTATTTTCTCTAATGTGAGAAGTGTGTCACTGTATTTCCACTGACAGCTAGAGACCCGTGACGTCAGCATCCCTGTTACAGTGCGGTTCAAACTAGGGCCCGCTGCTGTCGGACAGGCTGGTCCTGTTCAAGCTGAACTGAACTGGATTGTGTCAAGGCAGATCAACCACTTGATCAGACCTAGCCTGGACAGGCTGAGCTGGGCTAACCCAGTTTAGACTAGGTTGAGTCAGTTGAATCTGTTCTACCAAGATTTAAAAGGAGTGCGCCTGTTTGATCCAGGAAGAACCACTTTCATCTGGTTTAAATCATTCATAACTAGTTTGAACCAGCCAGAACTGATTTGATCCCGTGGAAATGCATAGCTCTAGAATCTCCACCACAAAGCCAATACCACATACAGTTACGGACAAACCCCAGGACCACAGAGACACTTCAAGTGTCATCTTGTCACTCAAGTATCATGAAGTGCCCCCGCCCCCAGAGCCCCTGGGCAGCCACTCGGGAGCCACGGGGAGGGCGTCGCTGGTGAAAGCCCACACCAGGTGTTTCCAGCAGGGCGGGGCAGGTTAGGGCTCTGCAGAACTTGTTTGATCTGATTTCAACTGGTCAAGATCAATTCTCTCCTCGAGAAACCACTCACTTTCTTAGATCTTCTCACTTACACACAAGTTTCATCCTGGTGTCTGTGTGGCATGGTGGCAATGAGAAAGACGCACAGTTAGAAGGCAGTTACTGAGAGTCCTTGATCCCTCAGTGAAGGAAAAAGTATTTCTTGAGCACTTACGTGTTCAAGGCTGTGCAAGGACTCGGGAGGGAGGGGAGATGGCAGTTCGTAAGGGGAGAGCCTGACCCTCAAACTCAGCAGCTCAAACAGGAGATGAATTAAGCCAGTGAATGTGCGGGGTGTACCTGGCCCTTCCCTAACTATCCGTCACAGTAGAGTAAACCCATGCCACAACTTTTGATAATACTACTGAAATTTTGGGAATTGGGATGTGTAAACTAGAGAATAATTTACAGTTGCATCAAGGGTAGACCAAAGTCAAGATTACTGGCAGAGACCTACTAGTTTCATCCGTGTGCCAGGGACCCACTTCACCACTTCATCTGGGCAGCCCAAACCTTGTCTGTGCCTCAGAGACCCTGCGGCCAGCCACCAGGCCCCCCTGCCGTGATATTCATGTCTTCTCCCCAAATTAGCCTTTCCCAGGATGATTGACAGTGGGAAGTCCTCTTCCTTCAAAGGAAGTACCTTACCCCACGGTTCCCAGCCCAACAGCTCCATGGAAACATGTCAGCTTCACCCTCGTACCTGCCTAATCTTTTAGCCTCAGTAGTTCTGCCAGTAGAGCATCAGGTTCCTGTTGACCTGCTCATCCAAGCTCGGCCTAATTTCTCTGCACTGCCACCCCCGATCATAAAGAGGTGGTGCTGATGCTGCCAGATTGTCCACTGTTCTTTCTTTAGAATCTCCCAAGCACAGCCTTCAAAGCAAGAACAGAAAGCTCTCGGAGGGAACAAGCTGCTTCTCAGGCACTGACTGTCCCGTCTCCTGTCATCCGGAGCAGTGAACTTTAAAAACTAGGGCTTTGGGGTCAGAGATCGGACTCCTCAGGTCCCACAGTTACCAAACACAGGGTGTTACAATTTTGTTCAATTAACACTTGTTAAGTTGAGCCCCAGGATGCCAGATGGTGAGCAAAAGACCACAAGAGGAATTTAGAGAAGTTGCTATAGGTCCTGGAGAAGGTCCTGGAGAAGCCGTCCAGAGAGGTCATGGCAGGGTACAGGCAGAGAGAGAGAGAGAGAGAGAGAGAGAGAGAGAGAGATTAAATGACTATGTTTTATTTGTAGGTATCATGACTCAGTGTGCTTCTGTGCATCTGAAGGAGCTGTTGCCTGTCATTAAATACTGTCTGCTTTGTGTTCCCTTTATATCCATTGAAATGCACGTTGGATTGCTTGCCTTTACACCAAGCCTGACTCTTTCTTTTTTTTTTATTTTAATCACTGTTCAAATACAGTTTCCTCCCTTTTACTCCCAATCCACCACCCCTCCCAACCCTCCCCACTTCCCTCCCATTACCACCCTCCCCCTAGTTTTTGTCCACGTGTCCTTTAAGTTTGTTCCCATGAACCCTTCCCAATGTCCCCTGAAATTCCCTCTTCTCTCCCCTGTGGTCACTGTCAGCTTGTCCTCTATTTCAATGTCTTTGGTTATATTTTGCTTGTTTCTTTGTTTTGTTGTTTAGGTTCCTGTCTCTTTCAAACTGTGAGTGGAGATGGTTGCATTTCTGCACCCCCTCCCAGAAAGTTACTGTTTTAGGAGTATGCAGAGAGACTTTATCACCTGCAGAAGGGAAGGGGGTGGGTAGCCAAAACATCTCTGCAGATCAGTCCAGATGGTCTCAAGGGGTGCGTGCACTGTGGTGCCCGCAGGTGGCTAAGAGACACCTTTCTCTCAGGGAGGTGGTGCCACGCTTTTTCCAAAGGACAGGCTGAGCTTTCAGAATGAGTTTTCTAGGCCACCCCTAGAGAAATACAGAGCAGAATGAGGCGACAGATTTTATAGTATCCATCCAGAAAGGAATGGAGACAGGAAAGCTCTGGATGTATTTGGAAATCTGTTTATTAGCAATAACCTCACCATAAACAAGTGAGTAATTTCTGCATTGGCGCTGTCATCCAAACAAAGGCAGAGGAATTTCCTCCTTTCACGTCCAGTTCCTTCTTCCTCCCCTCCTCCCTGCAGCGGCCCCAGCGTGCCCCTCCCCTCCCTTTCCTCTGCCCGCTTCCTCTGTTGGACCCTGAGGATGCCTGAGGCCGGCCCTGGTGTTGGTGGCGCTTTGTCAGTGAGCGAACACTAATCCTGAAGCGTGGGTTTGCATTCTAAGGCAGTCTTTCATTGCTGTCTGCTCAACAGTTGTGGTGTCTGTCACTCACACAGCACCAACTGGATGTTAGACTTGAATATTGATACTGGATTTATATCTGGAGTCCTAAGAATTATGATTTTTCTTAATTTAACAAAGAATTTACAGATGTGCCCTGGCTGGCATAGCTCAGTGGATTGAGCACGGGCTGCGAACCAAAGCATCGCAGGTTCAATTCCCAGTCAAGGCACGTGCCTGGGTTGTAGGCCATGGCCCCCAGAAACCGCACATTGATGTTTCTCTCTCTCTCTCTTTCTCCCTCCCTTCCCTCTCTAAAAATAAATAAATAAAAATCTTAAAAAAAGAAGAATTTACAGATGTATTTGACATGGGGAGAGAATTTGGAGTTGTGGTTTAGACAGGTATTTGCTACTTAATGTGAAAAGAAGACAAAGGAATTTGGCTCAGAAAGCAAACGGTTTCTATGCAGACCCTTTGATAGATATCTTAGGAGATAGAAATGAGCCAAGATTCTGTCCTTTCAGTCCTTGACCTTGAGATACATGCAGTCGAATAAGGGAGTAAACGAGTATTGAAGTAACAGTGATGCAAGGCAGGCTGCGGAATGGGCAGTTAAGAGGCTTTTCCAGCTATCAGAATATAAGGAATAAGGTGCATCTGAATAGAATAGCATAATTAGAAGACACCTGCCATTTTTTTGGAAAACTTTTTAAATCATCTTTGGACCCTCCCTAACCTTTCCTTTCTGTCTTTGTTGTCCATCATTTTGGAAGAGAAATAATATCCTGCCCCAAAGCCCCCGTATAACATAGGAATGCAGTAGAACAAGGGTTCTCAAAGTGGGATCCCTGGACCAGCAGCGGCAGCAGCTCCTGGGAACTAGATACAAATGCAGATTCCCAGGCCCTGCCTTAGAAACTCATGGGGCGTCGGGCCCAGGAGTCTGTGTTTTCACGAGCCCTGCAGAGATTCTGGTGGACACCCCCATTTGGGAACCCCCATCTCAGAGAAGGCTAGACCACCCAGTGTCGTGGGGCATCTGTTCTTCCACTGTGCTCTGCAGCCTTCTGGTCAGGCTGAGCACTTCTCACGGGTAGGGTTCCACCAGCAAATAAGCTCAAGAAACCCTAAAAAATAGATTTTGTTGGATATTTTCCACCAGTGTTTCCCTGTTGGAGGCTCTAAGAAGTCCTGTAGTGAGGAGGCTTAATTCACATCACTGCGCCAGAAGCCCCCGTAGCTATTTGAACAGACGTGTGTTACCACTGCATGGTGATGCCTGTTACAGGCTTGCTGCTGGGATCCCTTGCAACACACTTGGGAGAAACTTCTGGAGAGAGCTTTGCTCTGTGTGCTGTCAGAACCTACAGTGCACTGGGTAGAGGCCCTATACACACACACACACACACACACACACACACACACACAGTGTGGCAATGACGCCTGGACCCTGTTAGAGAAGCAGACCTGGGGCCGGGGCAGCCAGCTCACGTGTCTTCCTCTCCTTCCACTCCATCTCCATCCTTCACTGCACCCCGTTCCCCTCCAGCCTTTGCGCTTCAGCCGGAAGGTGGGGGACCTGCTGAGAGCTACCTGAGCCTTTGTAACTGCTTCTTGTCCACGCAGAATGTTATGTATATGTCTCCATTGTTTCTACATTTGTGATGCTCATGTTATTAGCTCACAATGGTGTTTTGACATTTTTGGGTCCATGCATTTTTGTAAGGATCATTCATTATCAAATAATCTTCTTATACCTGTCTTCACTAGCCTGTTCCAAAAGATCAGATTTTTCAGTTGGTTTATGGAAAGATTTTCTTTAAAGGTCAAACATTATTATTTAATTGTAGAATTAAAATTTCCATCAGTCTAGCTTTGTCTCAGCTATGTGGTTTCCCATCTGACTTGCAGAAGTCAGTGATTCATAAGAAGGCCACTGACACTCCCAGAATGGAGGGCTGGGGGGTCCTGTGAGGGAGGTGTTACTGACGCCATGTTTTTAGACAGAGAAGTTTATTGATGAAAAACTTGCCCAAATCACACAACTAGCAATTTGGAGTGTAAAATGAGACTTCCAAGTCTGAACTTCTATCCTGCCACTTAGCAGCTGTGTGACCTTGGTCAGGTTAATTAGCCTCTCTGTGCCTCAGTTTCCTCTTCTGGAAGAGGAAGATAATGTCGTGCCTGCCTCACAGGGTTGTTGTAAGCTTTTGCATCTACAGTTGTGCAGCACGTAGCAGGGCACTGTCAGCAGGGGGAGAAAAGCTGAAATAGTCAGGAGGATCCGGTGTGCATAACCCAGAGGGTTTAGCCACAGTTAACACTCCAGACACATCGCGGATCGAGTGATTGGACAGGCGGTGGCACAGCTTCTGCCCTTGCACGTAGCCTGCTGGGAGTTTAGCCATAATCAGTCCAGTGAAATGCGAGGATTTAAATGGATGTTGCCATTCCTTGTGTTAAGATGATGCTGGGCTTGTGGTTCCCTTCGACCTCTCTCTGCCACTCCCATTTCTCATTCTGGCCCCAACCCCATCAGCATTTCTAAAGTTATGTCTAAAATTATGTTATAATTTATTCCAGGGCACTTGAATATCATAAGTGATTTTAAGATGGTATTCTTCTAAGTACACAACATATTTTTAACTTCATAAATATTATTTCAGAGTGTTTATGAAACTCAAGTCTGCCATGTGGATCCTTTTCCTCGTCACCAGTTCTAGAAAAAAAAAAAACAAAAACAAAACAAAACAATTTGGGCATCGTATTGGTGGCAGACTTATTTTCCTTTGAAAGGGCCCTTTCAGATCAGTGTTTTCTGGGTGAAGCATTTTGACCAATAGCCGTTAGGTTTGGGTATCAACAACAATGGAAATTCTTATAGTACTGCCATGTCATTTCATACCATGTTATTTCAGGGTCCGTGGTAGAAAACAGACAAACATTAGGGTCTGACAGCTGTCATCTGCCCTGGGATGTTGACGGTGCAGGTCAGAACTTCCTCTGGCAGAGCTCCCCGGTTCCACAAAGGAACCTGTGGTGTGGCGTGGCATCGGCACAGGGCCGCTCTTCGAGGGAGGAAGTATTCCTGCCGTCCGTCATGTGCATCAGTCTGGGTAGCACTTGCAGTTGCTGCCTATGGATTTGTCCAGAGCATGCTCTTCAGGCTGACCACCACTAGGAGCTGTGGGGTGGCTGTGCAGGACTGGGCTGCCCTCGATTCCTGGGCGTAGCAGAGATGAGCTATTAGGTGCTTGGATGGCTGGCTCATGCAGCTTTGTTTTTCCGCAATGAGGTAGTACAGACAAGGCACCTTAGTCATTAACGAGATAAAGTTGTGCTGCTGAGTGCAAGACAGCTTTCCTACCAGGTGAGTACCCAGGGGCAGGAGAAAGCAGGCCTCCTTCCACCCCGCCCCCACCTTCTGGTTCGGCCATCGACCCACCATCTCTTGTACAAGGTCTTTGAGTGTATAGGGAGTCCAGAAAAAGCCAAGAAATTGCATCCCGATATAGGTAAATTATAATCATGTACCAGCAAACACAAATATAGTGCTTCTAATGCACCAGGCACTGTCCTAAGAGCTTTGCATACATTTATTTTATCCATAGAACAGCCTGAGACAGATACTATTTTATCCTCATTTGATGCATAGTTAACTGAGGCACAGAGATGTTAAGTTGCTTACTCCAAATCACACAGCTAGTTAGGTAGCAGAGCCAAGATTCAGTTTCAGACAGTCAACCCCAGAATCCCTTTTCATTAACTATGCTTTTCCATACGAGAAAAGAGGGGAACATTACATTCATTTCTAAATGGGTGTAGGCCATATTAACACTACACCAATTTAAGGCAAGAAGTATTACTAGAGATAAACAGGGAAAACAATAAAAGATCAATTTAATAGGAAGACATAAATATCTTGAATATGTGTGTACCTTCCAGCGTAGCGGTAAAATGCACAAAGCAAAGACTGACAGAAGTGGATGTGGACCAGCCCACAGTCACACGCCTCCAGAGGTCTTAACACACCTCTCTCAATAATATTAGAGACAGCAGACAAAAAACCACCAAGTGCGTAGAAGATTCGCACAATACTCTTAGCCAGTGTACTTGACCTAACTGACATTGGTAGGACACTGTCCCCTGCAGTGGCAGGATGCATTGTTTGAAGTCTGCATGAATCATTCACCGAAGTCAGGCATGCTCTGGGCCATGCAGCTGAGACTCAGCACATTTCAAAAGATTGAAGAGACAGGATATTCTCTGACTCAGCAGAACTAATTCAGAAGGGAATAACAAAAAGATACTACACAATCTCCAAATGTATTAAAATTAATAAGACAATTCTAAGTAATCCAAAGTTCAAAAGAGAAATCATAATGGAAACCAGAAAATGTTTTAAATGAAATGATAATTGTAGCGTGTCGGAGTATGTGGGATACAGCTAAAGCAGTGCTTGGAGGGAGAGTCATGGCTTGAAATATATTTGAAAAGAAAAATGTTTGAAAATTCATCACTACAGTTTTCATCTCAAGAATTTAGGGGGGAAAATCAGCCAATTTGGCTCAAAAAGTAGGAAAAAATAAAGGACTAGGCTAGCATCAATGAAATAGAAAAACAAAAACAGGCATATTATAAAGAAAACCGACAGTACCAAAAGTTGGTTATTTGAAAACACTGGTTGCAGTTAAGTGTCAGAAGCAACTTACTACATTTCCCCCTGACTCCTGCCCCGGCGTGTCCTGAGTTGCCAGGTAGGAACTCCACCATCCGCAGAGTGGGACTTTTTTTTTTTAAAGTCTGGCCTCCTCCCACAGCAACGCTTTGTCTCACTATCACTATTAGTTTGTCAGTCCCCTTTTCAACTTCAAGTCTGCAAATTCTCCTCTAACTGTTCTCCTGTCTCTGTTTGTTCCATGCTAAGCAGATGGCCCAGAAATTAGCCAAAAGCAGGAAGAAGGTGCAGTACAAACAACTTCATCAGCTTGGTGTTATGCCTGTTCTTTCCATTTATTTATGTTTTGCCTTTTTTATTATTTCGTGTTTTTGTTTTCTGCATCCAGCAAGTTTTTGTTCAGATTTCTTTTTGAACCGCCCCATAAGCCAACGTTTCTCAAAACTCAGTTGCCAAAAATGGCTGTTTTCTGTTGCTCATGAGTCATTTCACTTCAGAGGAACGGCAGGGAGCAGATTGGAGATGCTAAATGAATCCTACACTAGTGTGCAAGTTCCCACCATTCAGGAGCATTCATGTGGCAGGGACTTGGGCCTGTGCAATTATAGTCATGTTTGACTTGTGGATTTGTCAGATTGCTGGATGCAAAAAAGAAAACTCGCTAATAACCACACATGTGCAGAGTTAAGCCTTGAATGAACCAGACTGATATGCTTTTTTGGTTGTGGAGCTTCTAGGTGCTTATGAGCCACCCATGGGACGTTGATGCATTGGGGCTGTTTCTTAATGGGGTGGATCTGGGGAACTGCTTCTGTGTTGCTGTGTCAGTATGTGAACGTGAAGACCCTCTGACCAGAACTGCATTCAGATGACTTTGTTTGCACCTGCTGTAGACATTGTCCCTCATCACCTGAGCAGGGGCAGACTGATTTTCCCAAGGTCCTGGGGTGTCAAGTCAGTTGCCCCTATTCCTTCAATATGCTGGGCTCTGAAACCCTTGCAGAAAGGGTCATTGGCAATCCTTGTTCATAGACCCAAACCTTCTGCAGTGAGTTACTGCTTCTAGAGCAGAAGCAGCAAAGGGGATTCCGTGTCTTTCCTTGTGACCTGCAAATGCTAACTCTCATCCATGTGTCCATCCTCTGCGTGGTACCTTCAGCTTTGGCAACCTAGTTCAGGAGTCTGCATTGCTGTTCTGGTGACTGTGTCTCGATGCCTCTGTGTGTGAGCTAACCTTGCTCCCATCACCTGGGTCAGAGGAATGTCCTAAGCTTTCCCTTGGTGCATTTTTCTTCTCAGGCTCCCGAAGGCGAATCTCAGCCAATGACCGAAGTGGATCTCTTCATTTCTACACAGAGAATCAAAGTATTGAATGCTGACACACAGGTATTACCTGGCTCCCACCTTTCCTGGGGACAGAGCTTAGCAGCATGGCCACTCCAAGATTGCACCCATGTCTTAGGTGGCTGTCCCCAGATGCTGGCTTCTGTACAAGCTAGAAGGTTGTCTGCAGTGCATGTTTGAGGAGGGGGTGCAGGGAGCCTGGGAACCTTGGGACTGTTTTCTTAAAGATCAAAGGGAAAAATAAACTGGATATTGTTCGGTAATAATTCTCATAAGTTTGTATCACAAGATTCATGAAGTGGAACAGATTAGCCTCTTAAAAATTTCGTTTAAAATTGTACATACCTACACACACGAAAACAAAATGCAGCCATCACATGCAGATTTTGGTGTCTTTTTTTTTTTTACCTTCCCCACCGGAGATTCTACTGGTTATAAAATTATGAAAATTTCTCTTCACCTGCCACAGACTTCCTGGGTTATTATTAGCCCAGGGAATTGCCCCCAGGCCTGGGAGGGTGCACATAAGTCTGCCAGCAGGGTCCTTGCAGGGAACCCAGAAGCCCCCTGCATGTGGACCACACTTGGCAGCTGGGTTCAGGGTGGCAGACTTTCCCACGGGTCACTGGATGCTGCCCTGACTGACCACACTCTCCCTGCAGGAGACGATGATGGACCACCCTCTGAGGACCATTTCCTACATCGCAGACATCGGGAACATTGTCGTGCTGATGGCCCGCAGGCGCATGCCACGCTCCAACTCCCAGGAGAATGTGGAAGCCTCCCACCCGTCCCAGGATGGAAAAAGGCAGTACAAGATGATCTGCCACGTCTTCGAGTCTGAGGACGTAAGGGTGGCTTCCCCCATCTCCCTCCAGTGACTCGAGCTGCCCCTGTGTGGCCGATTCTCTCCTTATTTCTCAGGGGACCTGAGTCCTATGTGTAAACAAATATTTATTGAGCACTTACTATGTGTTACTCAGCCTTATATCCTTGTTTGTGTGCTAGGGATATAAGCCTGCATAACACAGACAAGGTATTCATGACTGTTGTGGGGAGACAAAGAGATAAGTATACTTAATATAAAATTAAGTAATGGGAAGGGTTTTTAATTTTTAAAAAAAATTTTAAAGATTTTATTTACTTATTCCTAGAAAGAAGGGAAGGGAGAAAGAAAGACAGAGAGTGAAACATTGATGTGCAAGAGAGACAGCGATCGGTTGCCTCTCACGTGTCCCCAAGGGGGGACCTGGCCAACAACCCAGGCATGCGCCCTGACTGGGAATGGAACCTGCGACCTTTTGGTTCACAGGCCAGAACTCAGTCCACTGAACCACACCAGCCAGGGCAGGTAATGGGAAGGTTGATGAAGAAAAACTAAAACCAGGTCAGAATAGAGGACCAGAGGCTGTTTCAGGTAGGATGATCCAGAAAGTTCTCTTTGAGGAGGCAAGATTCGAGCAGAGATCTGAATAAACTGAGAGCGGGAGAGAGCAAGTGCAAGGCCCTGAGTCAGGGTCCCACTGGTACAGCTGGAAGAATGGCGAGGCCACACTGCCAGAAAGCTTAACATGAGAGAAGAGTGGAAACAGTTCAGTCAAAGCCATGGAGGCCTGAGCAGGCCTCACCTGGGCACTGGAGCATTTGGGAATAAAGTTCTGGGTTGTTCAGGACTGCCCTGGGGGCTACAAGAACATTAGGATCCCTGCCTCTCCACACCTTCCCACCTGTCCTGAGAAAACCAGCTGCTCAGAAAGCCAGTGACTCCTCCCCTCCATCTCTCCAGGTGATGACATAACAGAGAAACTTAGCTTATAGCAGCAGTGGGCCCATTCTTCCCATTCGGTCTTCTTCCCGTTGTGACCGGAAGTGCTGGCAAGGCCACCGGCTGCAAGCTGTCTGAGCCCCCGAGTGGCTCGCGACATCTGGCAGGCTGAGGAAGCCCCCTCCCAGGCTGGAGCCCCAGCCCGTGGGGGTTTGGAACTGCAGAGACCGTCTGCTGGGCCATGCCAGTGCCACCAATTGATTGTGCTGGGTTTTTCCCTCCTGCCGCAGTAAAACAAGTTCTTTCTCCTACCAAGCAAAGAACCCTTACTACTTAAAGAAAATTGCCTGCGGTAACCTTGGCTCCTTAAAAGAGGCCATTTTTCCTCCATAAAAGTGTTCCTCTAGCTGCAGTAAATTGCCTCCCTTCAACAAGCTGGGAGTCAGAAGCAAGCTGCTTTTCTCCAGAGAGCCAGAGCCGTCTTGGCTGCGGCCACAGAGAGGAGGAGACGCCTTCCGCACTGTCCCTTCCCGGTCTGGTTCCCTAGAAAGCAGCCCCAGGGGCGGGGTCACAGAGAAGTCCTGGAGCATGCAGCACACCTCCCCGCCATTCGCCCTGCTGTTCCTGTAAAACTGAAACCAAACTTCCACACTGGGAAAAAATGAGTTTTGGAAGGTTCTCAGAAAGTTCCCAAAGAGTCAGACTTAGAGCCTTAAGCCACATGTGTCCTGTGGGCCAGTGAAAAGGTCAGCTCTGCGCACTGGCCTGAGGCTCCCTCGATGCACTTATGTATGTATGAGGGTCCCTCTGCCCCTTTTCTCTGGCTCGGAGCCCCAAGGAGAAGTTTCCTTGCCTTGGGCTTCCTGTCAGGGAAGACGATGAAAGGAAAGAATGGCGTGAGCAAGAGTTAGGACAAGCATGGCCCTGGGAAGCTTACCCTTGGCTTTTTAATCAGAGGACAAAAGAAAGGCACTGGCTCCAGACCTGGCAGAGTTCAGTGTGAATCCTGCCTCCACACACCAGCTGTGTGGCCGCCAAGCTTCTGCAGGCTGCCGTGCGGCTGTGACAGGTCACCAGGAGCCTGCGTGTGTGCCTCGTGCACCCACACGTGGTGGCCAGCCAGTCTGCTGGTCGTGTTCCCAGGTGTGTATTGTTCAGGTTGTCTGTTCACATGTGCCCCTGATGCCTGCAGCGATGCCCCGCCACCTTCCAGTTCTACAGTGGGGTGCGGGCTGGCGGTCCTTGGTGGGACTCGTGGCTCCTGAAGTCACCAGACTCTCAGAGTGAGAGAAGCTAAGCATTTCATTTCCCATGGCCAGAAAGTACTACTATCGTGTTAATAATAGTACTAGACTTGTAAAGTCATTTGTGTTCTTATATAAATTCAAGTTGAGTCCTGAACTCAGATAATCAGACACAGGGGTTACATGTACATGGACGCCCCGTGGGATGTTTGGAAATTATGCAGGATGTCGAGTGACTTACTGAAGTGTAAGATGGTCCTTTGCATGGTTTTAAGTCCAGCATCTCTGCCTCTTTTTCTCTCAATTGCCAGTAGCTCCTTTGTGTTTAGTCATAATCAAAAATTTCCCCACTGTCTGGCCAGTGTGGTTCAGTTGGCTGGAGCATCAGCCCATGCACCAAAAGGTCACAGGTTCGATTCCCAGTCAGGGCACATGCCTGGTTTGCAGCTTCAGTCTACAGTTGGGGTGCATGTGGGAGGCAACCAGTTGATGTTCTCTTTTTCTCTCCCCCTTCCTCTCTCTCTCTGGAATCAGTAAATGGCCCCACTAATTTCGAAAATGATCTCTGGCAAGCATTAGTGCCCCATGTAGACCCACTGGTCCAGTTGAGGCCTTGGACTTCATAGTCCTGATGGGAAACACGCTGCCCACCAACATGGCTGCCCTACTGACCCTCCTCTTCCCTCTGCCTGCCCTCTAGGCCCAGCTGATTGCACAGTCCATAGGGCAGGCATTTAGCGTGGCATACCAGGAATTCCTCAGGGCCAATGGGATTAACCCTGAAGATCTCAGCCAGAAGGAGTATAGTGACCTGCTCAACACCCAGGACATGTACAATGATGACCTGATCCACTTCTCCAAGTCGGAAAACTGCAAAGATGTAGGTACCTTCTGAAGCCGTTCCAAGCTGGGCCAGTGGGTAGGCGCTCTAAGGAGCCCGGGGACAGGGAGGCTAAAGAGTGTGGTATCAGCAGGACATTCCTAAGGGCTCAGGTCCATCTGTGGCTCCCTTGCATGAGGATCTGTGATTAAATGTTGCAGCAGAGGGCCATCGCTAGTGAGGCAGAGCATCCTCTGCCTCCAGCACACCTGAGCTAAGTGTGGGGTGCGTTCCAGAGGCAGGCAGGACCTGCACTCTGCCCTTGCCAAGCCCACGGTGTAGGAAGGGGCATGGAAAACGTGAAGTGGTGGTGCTGGTACAAGCATCAGTCAAAGACAACTGTGCTTGGCAGAATGGAGCAGGTCTGGAGTTTCTGACAATGGATGCTGCATTCCTGCAGGGACAGCCCATTGCTTCAGAGACCCAGTCCTGCAGGAGTGTCTGGAGGACACAGAGCCATCTGAGCTGGTGTGCAGGTCTGGGTATTCTTTGGAACACATAGGTGCATGCAGAGGGCTGGGCCAAAGTACCAGAGGTGTAAAGGTTGGAAAAGCTCAAGAATGGTCTGGGGAGCCAAGAATGAGGCGGGTGGTGCATGTAAGAAGGACAAGGGGAGGCCGGTGTGGGGTTCAGCTCAGAACTGGAGGGCTTGGAAATCCAGCTGAGGAGCTGGACTTGATCCCATAGGTAAAAAGTTACCTTTATGAGACAATGATCTTTCAGTCCACTAATGTATGTTGGGTGTCCTGCATTCCCTAGAAGCAGAACCTGAGATGGGGCTTCATGTTCACGGGACTTTGGGGGACAGTGCACTCTGGAAAAAAAGTGTGGGCACCACGGCAGTGGGGGTTCAGAGGAGGAACAAGGCCTCACTGCAGATGAGCTTCATTCTGACCCACAGGAAAGCTCTGGGTGACAAACCCCCCAGGGCCAGGGGTGCCAGCAGGCCTCCGTACCCTGTGCCCATCAGCCGTGGATGCCAGGGTTGGACGGGGTTGTGTCAGTGTGCTTGGGGCACCATAATAAGAACTGCAGACCAGATGCCTTCAACGACAGAAACTTACCCTCTCCCAGTTCTCGGGCTGGAAGTCTGAGATCAAGAATTCAGCAGGGTTGCTTCCTTCTGACGGCTAAGAGGAAGGATCTGTTCCAGTTTTTCTCCTTGGCTCATAGATGGGTGTTTTCTGGAGTCTTCGTGTTGTCTCCCCTCGATGGGGGGCGTGTGCCCCCATCCAAATTTCCCCTTCTTCTAGGAACATCAGTCATATGGGTCAGAGCCCACCCTAATGACCCCACGTTAACTTGATTTCCTCTGTAAAGACCCTATATACAAATAAGGTCACGTTCTGAGGCAGTGGGTGTTAAGACAGGATGCAGCCCGTATGGGGCGGGGCAGGGGTCTCCCATGTAGCCAGGGGCAGCTCTCCCGAGAAGGGACCCACTGTGAGTGTCAGCAGTGGGAGAAGTGGGACCCAGCCTGTGAAGGAGGCCGTGTCAGGCCCTGACAGCCGCCATGACAGTGTCTGTTTGAGCATGGGTGTCTCTGTGAATAGCAATAAATAACTGTGTACACACACTCTGTTGGATGCTTCTAGGATGTGTCCTACCCCTTTGTAGTACCTCTGCAACCCTCACTAGACAGCAGATACGCAAAACCAACTCCCGTCTTCTCTGCCCTGCCAAAGAAGGTGACAGAAATGACGCGTGTCTGGAGTATGGTCTTCCTGTTTGCACTTGCAGCCTTTTGGTGATAACTTTAGCATCTTTTTGTTTTCTTTTTCTTCAGCTTTCCCCTTGCAGAGAAGTGTTTCTGTAAACCACTGCATATTTATTTATTTTTAACTCAAGAATCTTAAATGTTGGAGAGCACTGTGGAACAGGGAACCAGCAAAAGCTATTCCTAGGAACCATAACTCACCACCAAAGTTCCCGCCTACAGAGTTCTGCCCCCCCCCCCACCAGAGACTGTGGGGGGCGTGGGAAACCATGCCCTTCGTGGTTGTAGTGTCAGGTTAAGACTGCTCACGTGGAACAAGAACAACAAAAACCGGGTACAGGCCCTTGTTGAACTGCTCCCTGCCCACCCCAGTGCCACGACTCGCGGCATTGGGGCCCTTGGGGAAACGCCGTCTCAGTCAAGGAAGGAGGGGAGTGGATGCTTTGATTCCCGTTGCTGCCCTGGTGCTGCCGACTGGGGCCATCTGGGTGTTCCTCTCCATGCAGGTGTTCATAGAGAAGCAGAAGGGAGAAATCCTAGGCGTGGTGATCGTCGAGTCTGGCTGGGGCTCCATCTTGCCGACCGTGATCATAGCCAACATGATGCACGGAGGGCCTGCCGAGAAGTCGGGGAAGCTGAACATCGGGGACCAGATCATGTCCATCAATGGCACCAGCCTGGTGGGGCTGCCTCTGTCCACCTGCCAGAGCATTATTAAGGTACCGGAAGTGGGGGAGATTGCCCTCTGTCACAGACCTGAAGTGCAGCTGCAGTGCAGGCGTGAACGCCGAGGGACGTAAGTGTCAGGCAGTGGGCAGGACACAGATACAGAAGGCATCAGCTTGCACTCAGGTGTTACCACCAAGTCACTATGTAGAGATTGCTCCCTGAAGTCATTGTTAGATCAGAGATGGGCTCTTAGCTCAGGTAACACCACTCTCCGACACTGCGCCCACCGACAGGTATCGCTGGTCAGTCACAACACTCCCGCCCATTGAGACTGAACAGAATTGTCCCGCGCTCAGTAATCCAGACACTCACCTGGGGCAGCAGTTCTCACCCCGGGGAGATCTGGAACCCCAGGGGCATTTGGCAATGGCCAGAGACAGTTTGAATTGCCACAGCTAGAGAGGAGGGCACGGCCCTGGCATCCAGTGGTGGAGGCCGGGGGTGCTGCCAGATGTCTGCAGTGCCGGGTGGAGGTGGGGTGAGGGCACCTCACTTTGAGATATGCAAGTTCAGGTGTGCAGCAGAGATGTCAGGAGAGAGGGAAGGTGGAGAACGAGGGTTTGCAGGGACTTGACCCGGGTCTGGAAAGGTTTGGGGAGGAGGAACAGGGAGTGGGGACAGCCTGAGTGAGTGTGGAGCAGGGGCTTGGATGGCAGTGGCGAGGCTGCGTGCCAGTGACCATGGTGCATCTGCCAGACAGTGCCCGGCCCTCCACGGCGTCCCCTCCCACCCTCCCCGAGACAGACAGCCCGTGAGGGTGAGGGCGGCAGCAAACACCCAGCTTACGGTTTACAGATGAGTCATCAGCAGCTGTGAGGGTGACTTGCCCTGGACACCACCCCCCACCCCCACCTGACACATGGTCCAGAAGCCCCTCACTGCTCCTCCCTGCCTCTGCAGGAAGGAGGCAGAAGGGAGGAGGCTGGCTGAGGCACATAAGGGCAGCGCACGCATCCCCTGCTGCCACACGGGGACTCAGCCTCTGTCCAACGGGTTGCATGTCAGGGTGGAAACAGAGCCCCTCAGAGTGCGGTCCGCACTGTCAAGCAGCTTCTGAGCCACTTCCCACCAGGGAACAGGTTGTTTGCATGAGTCGCTGACCCTTGAGGCCTGCAAGTGGAGTGTCTGTAAAATCAGGAAATTAAAAGGTCGTGTGGGATGAAAGACGTGTCACTGGTGAAGATGGACAGTAAGAAAACCAGTGTCTCCATAGCCGCCCTTGGCAGAGACGCACTCTGTGGGCAGGCCCCTCTGGGACACGGCCGCCCTGCCTCAGGGCCCCATGCGCCACTCTGTCGAAGGAAGGACTGTGGTTGGCCCAATCCTTGCCCCCCAGCCGGGAGAATTTCACTGCTGATCTCAGCTTTCTAGCATTGCTTTTAAATTCTCTAGACAACACCCCCTTTCTGCCTGCACCTGAGCAGACGCTCACCCGGCTCACCCCGTCCTGTCCACATCACCTTGGGGCATTCACTTCAGGGAACGTGCTGGGCCTCTCGCCACTCCCTGCTAGCACCGCTTACTTCAGAGTGTGCCGGTGCTCCTGGCCATGAGTTTGATGAGCGGCTCGCATCCTGGCAAATCCGTGTTTCATACACTTTGATTTGAGTCACCCGGGGATCTTGTCAAAATGCAGGTTCTGGTTCCGCAGGTCCAGGATAGGATTCTGCATTCTCAACAAGCTCCCCCGGGATGACATCACCAGGTGCTGGGCTGTGCCTTGGGGAACACGCTGAGTGTTCTGTGTGTGGCCACTTCGATGCATGTTGACCTTTTTTCCCCAGTCACGGGAAATGGCATACGTTTCTAGAACAGACTTATAGGTATTGAATCATTTTAATTGCTTTCTGCCCTCACTCTTATTTTTCCTGTCATAATTCCTAAAGCATAACAATTGGGAGGCAAAGTGTGTCAGCAGCCTGCCTGTTTGTGGGCCCCAAGGCCCTGCCCCCCTGATCTGTCTCCTAAACTAGAACACCGGCGCCCCCTTCCTTCCACAGGAGCATCCTGGTTCTGCTCACCCGTTGCCATAGAGACAGTTCTGGCTTCTCTCCTCTCCCCTCTCCACTTCCCTACCCTTCCCTTCCCACCAGATTTCTTAATTTGCTGTACCATTCCACTGTTGTCATGGGGATGAAATGACCGTTTATTTAATTGGCACCTCTAACAAAATGGCAGCTCAGAAACCCAAGCTAATGGGACCCAACTCGAGTCACTGATGAGGAACGGCAGAGCAAATGTGAGGTCTGGTGGTTCCAAACTGCCGCCGCACTGAGCCTCACCATGCAGCGCACGTCCCCGGCTAGAAACTCGTTCCCTGGGGGACAAATCAGGCATCTGAAATCAGCTCGCATGGAAGGAAGGAGCCCACCAGAGCAGAGTAAACGTTTAGGTAACGTTCAAAAAACAGAGTCGTTCTGCCACTTCCCAGTGCGCTCTGTGAGGCCTGCCTGTGCCTCGCGGATGTACGTGAGCAATCCCAGTGGTTAGCAGGTGTACACGTGTAAAGCAGACGGCTTGTCTGAGAGGCGAGCTTCTAACTTGTTCCTCTGTCTTCGGCATTCTCTGCTCTTACTTCCCACACATTCCTGGCCTCATGGTGTTTGACTGCGGGCCGGGGGTGGGGGGGAGAGAGGTGAAGGGATGGAGCCCTCTAGCTGTTCTGCCATGTGTCCGAAGCCCACCCCTGAGCTCCTGGGGGTCCTGTTCCACCTGCTCCCACTGCCTAACACATTTCTTGGCACATACCAAGTGAGCCATAAATATTTATTGATTAAGCGATTGAGAAAGAGGAGGCACTCAAAGGAAAAAGAAATACATGTATGAATGATGTCTGAGCAAACCCCTCCTGCCTGCCTATTTTTAACTTTAAAAATAGGTGTTTCTAAGTATAATGTGGTGTTGGCAAACACAGGAAAGGGGAAAAAACGTGGAAAGGAGTGAAATTATAGAAATGAGAACTGGAAGAGATCATCGCAGGTGGCACCTTACATTTGCCGATGAGACTGCAGTGGAAGGGGTGGGGGAGTGTCTAAAGCCCCACGGACTGTGGGGCAGACTCCCCTCTTGAGCCCAGGTCTCCTGACACAGCAGAGTCCTCTGCACCAAGCCCTGCTGTTAGCAGCAAAATGCCAGAGTGTCAGTGTGGCCAATGGGCCTGCTGTCCACGAAAGACCAGGAAGAATCCCTTTCAGCTCATCTCTTGCTTCACTTTGAAATCGTTATCTCTTGAGCCAAAGAGGTCTCCCATAGGTGTTGCAGAAACCACGGGGAGAGGCTGGGGACTGCTGCCTGTGTGTGTGTACACCAAGCCACCATAACCCACATGACAGCGATGGGAGGCTCAGCCCCCACAGAAAACAGAGCAAGTGAGAACACTGAGGAAACAGGCTGAGATGCTGGAGGTGGGGAGTTAAATGGAGCCCCTCAGAATGCACACGTTGAAGGGACAAACTGGAATCAACCACTCGCAGAGGGGGAGCCAGCAGCGGGAGCCTTGAGGAACCCCCTGCGGGTAGGAAAGCCAGCTGGAGAGGCGGCGCTCAAGGCTGCAGGAAGAGACACAGGGCACCAGTCCAAGCTCCGAGCTCTGTTGCCCTCCCTGGCTTCTTGGCTGAGTGAGCCTGACCCATGAATGACACAATTTCTCCTGTTTTCTATGTGGGGGATTGTGGCGTAGGAGAGAATGCCATGGGTTTGAATCCAGGCAGACCTGGGAGTGATGTTTCTGTGGGTGAACTTGGGTGAGTTGCTTAGCATGTCTGAGCCTCACTTTCCTTTTTTATAAAACAGGCGTCATTATAGCTGCCGGTTTGTCAAGGGTATTAAAGGACACAGCTCCTGTGAACTCTCCAGGTCGGTGCCTGGCAAGAGGCAGTTCTCAGTGACAGGTGGTACAGCTGGTCTCAACACCAGAATGGGTTTTGAGGGGACAGTGACCTGAGGGGCACTCACACATGGAACAGACAAACAGATGGTGGACTGGGCATTAGGACAACCAGCTCTCCTGAGTCCTCACCCCACCCCAGCTTGCTCACCTGTTCTCACAGGGCACACGGGCCACAGGTGTCAGTAGTAATTGGACGTCATTAAGTCACCTGAGTGCAGGTGAGTTCACTGTTCTAAAGCGGTGGTTTGCCCCAGTTCTCAAAATTGAGAGTCACTGGGACTGTGTATCATGTCACCGGGAAGACTTGTGGACACAGACTGTTGGGTCCCACCCCTGTAGCTTCTGAGTCAGTGGGTCTGGGTGGACCCCCGGCTCTGCATTTCTAACAAAAGTAGCTGGGTCTTGCTGCTGCTGGTGTGGGGTCTCCTCTGTGAGAACACCTGGTATACCCCTATTGGCCAAGCATGATAAAGCCAGCCAACCAAAAGCACAAAGAGCCCCAGTCCACCCCTCAATCTAAAGCATCTCTTCAGTCCTTAGAAACGAAGGTACGTGAGTCACTTCTGCCACTCTAAGTGGCAAGTGGCATTCTTGCCACAATCCTGTTGATGTTGAAGTCGTCACCTAACACCGGTTCCACCTGTCTACTAGGCAGGGTGCTTGGGAGGAAGGCAGAGGCTAGAGCAGGGAAACCATCATCCCAGTTCTGACCCCATAGGGCCTTGGACAAGTCAGGCTTTAGGCCCATGTCTGTCCTCACCCGTAAAATGTGAAAGAGAAGTCCAGCCCCGCCACAGAGAGAGGTTGTGCAGCCTGGGCGGGGAGGGACTGGTGGGAGCACCAGCTGTGGGATCTGCAGAGTTCTGCTCACAGAGTAAAAGGTGATCCCCTTTCAGGCTGAAATGGAGGGTGCACACTGGGCCCGTTTTCAAATTGACCAGGGGACACTGTAGACTTGGAGGGAGTAGAGCCCGCCTTCTCCTGAGCACCTGCCACTGCTCCGGTGGATGGCGGAGGAGAGGCTGTGCCCCCACCCCACGGTGCCATCATTTTGGGACAGCTCGTCCCCCTCCCCTCTGACCCTTTGGAAGATGTGGCCGACCTTGAGCCATCTCCCTACCAGCTGGCCTCACCAGATGGGAGTCCTGTGCGGCGGGCGTTTGCAGCAGGAGTGCTGAGCTCACCCGCCTCAGCTTCCACGGGGCCTGGGCCGCCAGAAGCCCTGCCGCCTGTTGACCTCAGGGCTCGAAACGTCTGCCTTCTCCTCTGTACGCCCTGACTTGAAACAGGTCAGTCGGGAAGCACCTGCTGCAGAGCACTGGGTCTGGACCGCCCAGCACGCAGGCGTCCCGTGGGGCAGAGCAGGGGGTCTGAGGCAGACCTGGGCAGTGGACATTGGTTCCAGGGCTGGATTACCTTCCTTTCAGGGTGAGGCTCACAAGTCAGTGGTCAGACCTGTAGGAGCAAAACCTTCCCCTGCCTGAGGTGGTTTTCTCGGGGTGTTCCTGAGCAGACTGGGCTGTGGTCACGGCCCTTTGTGCTCAGGGGACAGGAGGATGGCCTGAGCTCAGCATAGACTATAGTGGGGTACAGGAAGCTCTCCGAACAGGCTCTGAAACCCGCCCAAGTCCCCTTTTTTTCTATAAAGGCCACCTTTCCCTCTGCACTCGATTCTTAGAGGGAGAGGCACAGGAGCAAGGGTCATGAAACCACAGACCTGAAGACAGTCTCCAAGTCTTATTCCTCCCTCCCTCCTTCCCTTCCCTCCTTCCCTCCCCAGCAGCACCCTAATCATTCTCCCAAGGAGGCCTCCATGGAGGGGACTCCCGCCTGCTCCCCGCTTTTCCCCAGGTGCTCCTGGGAATGTTGATACAGTCTCTAACAGGCAGAGAGGTGTCGGGGTGCAGGAGCGTTAGAGGTGGAGAGAAAACGTGCTGGGGTGAGTTGGGCCAGTTGCTGTGAATTACTTGTTCTTTGTTGGGAGAGGAGGAATTGCTAGCACTTGCCCTTCAAAGAAAAAGTCCATTTCCCACTTGTCTCCTGACCAGGGAGATGCGGTGCAGCCTTCATCTTTCAGGCCGGGAAGCACGTGCAGCCGTTTTCTCCTTCACGGCCCAGAGGGCCACTTTATTCGGGTCCCTTGACCGCAGCCCAGTTCCCCCGAACGAAGGCCCCGCCCCCGGACGGACGTGGGCGTGCACACGGGGCGAAAGGGCTCCGTGTGAAAGCGGGGGTTTCTCCCGGTAGCTGACACCGTGGGGTGGTGGGTGGCGGGCACTTCACCGAGTGACGAGAGTCGTACAGGGGCTTCTTTGGCCTTCGGAGCTGTGTGCTCTGATCTTGCCGGTCTGCCCGGGTGGTCGCTGTACCCACTGCGTTACGCTCCCTTCTCAGGGCTTGAAGAACCAGGCCCGCGTAAAGCTGAACATCGTGAGGTGCCCTCCGGTGACCACCGTGCTGATCAGGCGGCCAGACCTTCGCTACCAGCTGGGTTTCAGCGTCCAGAACGGAATCGTAAGTACCACTGCGTGCCCTTCTCCAAAGTCAGACAAAAATGGGCCATGGTGTTCAACATTTTAATTTTTAAGGCTGCTCAGTTCCCTGAAAGAATCCAGCAAGGAAGGGGATGAATAGGTGAAGGCGGCCTCGGCTTTGTCTTTGGACAGAAAAGCCTGTGCCTTCCCACAAGTGAAGAGAGACGCCCTTTTCAGAGCCCTGGCCCTGGAGCCTGGGTCTCCATGACCATGCAGGGTGGCCCTCCCAGCCGCTCACTTGAGGTAGCCTGGGGTGCCAGCAAGGACTTCCTTCACCTCTGGCCTTGGGGGACTGCCACCTTGTCACCACACTGGGCTGTACCCCCGAGCCCCTGCAAAGCTGCTGCTGCTCCCCAAAGTGGGGTGAGGAGCACTGGGAGCTTCGCAGCTCCCCAGGGAGTCCAGCTCACAGCCAGGCTGAGAACCCCGCGCATGCTAGTATGCATGACCGGGCTGTGCTCTGCCTGTTCAACCTCAGCTGGCATTTTGGGGATGCAGAGTACTTTTATCACTTGGATGTCAGCCTTGAAAATAATACGTCCTTTCTTCATCGCAGTAAAATATACACATTAAATTGACCATTTAAACTATTTTTTAAGCATGCAATTCAGTGACATCAAGTACATTCACAGAGTGGTATGAGCATAACCATTATCTCTTTCCAGAACTTTTTCTTCATCCCAAACAGAAATTCCATGCTTAATACCACTTCCTTTTCGCCCAGGCTTGCCTTTCTGGATTCATAGCCATTCTGGGTTTGGGTTGCAAATCTGTCTTCTGTAACCTCTCTCTTATTTTTTTTTAATTTGATTTTAGAGAGAGGGGAAGAGAGAAAGAGAGAGAGGCGCAGACTTGTAACCCACAACCTTGGTGGATCGGGACAATGCTCTAACTGAGTAGCCTACCCAGCCAGGGCCTGTAACCTCTTGACTTCACAGGTTTTGGTGTGCCTTCTTTGCATTCATGTTTCCAGATAGAAAAATTCTTTTTTGCTCTTCAAATTTCAAGTAAGAGTTGTAGGTAATCAAAATTTAATTCTAAGTATGTTTTAAGGTTTAGAAATACCCATCTGAAGTTTCCAGATGGAGTTGAAATATCCAGCCCACTGATCCACTCTTTGTACCTATGTAGCGTCGTTTGCTTTTTGGAGAGAAGCGAAGGTTACTCCATCATTTCAGTCTGTCATCATGTTTCCATCTGTTTACAGTTCCTTATTTGCTTTGTTCCTATTTGAATAATATTAAAAGTTCAAGTAGGAACAAAGGGTTGTTACCTAGCAGATGTGGGTCCATGGGGCCCTCATTTTTATTTAGAGTGTGGGTAGCGCCTAAGGGACCTTTTGACCCAGAGCACCTGGCCGGCTGACAGTTTCCACGCTGCACAGTGGCTCAGTGTCCACGCGGGCTTTGAAACAGAGGTGCACAGTCTGCAGTTAGAGTCAACTCTGCACACCCAAAACATCCCTTTGGGAAAACTCCCACTGTCTTGTGTGTGAGGTGGGGTGGCCCCCGCCTGTCGTGCCACACGCAGAACCCTCCCAGTGAGGAAATGCGGGCTCCGTTCCACGAGCCTGCAGCCTCTGCCACCCACAGGGACAAAACCCAGCCTCACTGTCACTTCAGTGAGAAGGGAGTTTGATCAAGTGCCACTGAGCTGGGGAATCCAAAAGGGGCAGCTGCCCGCCAGCTAGCCACACTCTGGCACACAGAGCAGGCGTCCCAGCCCCACTTTGGCTCACTCGACTATGCCCCTAAATCATGGCTGCTGGCATTATACATCTGATGTGGGAGCCCAAGTGGCAATTGTGGGAAATAAAACTCACCTGAGTTACAGGCCGACAGTTTGAAAACATTGGCAGCGTGATGACAGGCCCAAACAACTCTTGTTACCAAGCCCCCGCTGGGGTGAAAGGTAGTCAGAATTCAGTGTGCATGCAGTCCAGCAGCGTGCTGCATCACCTGTGCAGGGCGCGTGAAGGGGGTGGCCATGTGGGTGGAGAGAACTCTGTTTCTTGTGAAAAGAAACAAGGGGGTTTAAATGCCCAGAGCCTAGCCCTGGCAGCTTCTCAGAGAAGAGAGTGCAAGAGGCGGGGGCTCCAGAGACACAGTCTTACGTCCCCACCCAGTTCCCTGCCCGTGAGGGGTGACGCGGCCTCTGACCCCGACAGATCTGCAGCCTCATGCGAGGCGGGATAGCAGAGAGGGGAGGCGTCCGCGTGGGACACCGGATCATCGAAATCAACGGGCAGAGCGTGGTCGCCACCCCGCACGAGAAGATTGTCCACATCCTCTCCAACGCCGTGGGGGAGGTAGGAATGCGGGTGGGGCCGGCGATCCTCCCGGGCCCCTCGCCTCAGCCAGGCCCTGGCCAGGCCTCCCTAGACACTGCTCAACACCCAGCACAGCCCGTCTCAGGCCAGACTTTGGCTTCGGTGATGAGAGGTTGTCACAGAGCACCTCCATGAGACAAGATTGAGTCACCTTTAGGATGATTTGCTCACTTTATTTAAATATGGGAGTAGGCAAAAGTTGATTTACAGCTGTGAGTACATGAAACAGTTTACTCTTTTATTATTATGTATTATTGCACTCTTTATGTATATTACAACTGTAAACCTACTCTTGCCCACCCCTGTGTGTGTCAAGCGCACGGCATCATAACTGAACGCCTGAATGACTACAAAATGACCACCTCAAAAAGCCTAGGTACCATCCCTCACCATGTAGTAAGCCCCCTTCCCTTCTGGCGACCACTGCTCCCATGTGAGTTTGCTGTGGACCTTGAGCTAAAGTGCTAAGGCTCTTTAGGCTAAGAGACGTAAGCCAGAAGGAGAAAGAAATACACCGTTTGATCTCATTTCTATGTGAAATCAAAGCAAAAAGAAACTGAACTTCCCTCATTAGCCCTCAGAGTTGAGCAGCTTCTCTCCATGGCTGCCCAGTTCTCTCCATTTTTCCCCAGCTCACCTCACCAAATGTGCCTGGGAGATTTAAGTCTTAGGTTCCAGTCTCATCAGCAGAACAGGCCTCCAGAGGGCTGTCCCTGGCACGGCCTTGGCCCAGGTCCTGACTCCATCGCTCGTCTATGAGGCCCCCATCCCCCTCCCCCGCCCCAGAAGAGTGGCGGCAGCAGTCGAACCCCATAGCCGTTTACTTCTGTTTTAAGAGTTCTCTCCTTTAAAAAAAATAGATGAGAATAAAAGCACTTGGGAGAATAAACCTTACCTGGTTTTCGTTGTTACTCTGTCACCCCTCTTTAGAAAGCCTGTGGCCTCTGCTCTTCCTGGAGGCCCCTCCCCTAATCAGGACCCTGCTTGGGGCGGGGCTTCATGGGCATCACCCCGCCCCTGGCCGCGGCCCGCCCGGCCCCAGCCCCAGCCCCTACTGACTTGTGCTCCTGCCCTCAGATACACATGAAGACGATGCCAGCTGCCATGTACCGACTGCTGACGGCCCAGGAGCAGCCTGTTTACATCTGAGCCGTGCCCCCGAGGGCGCATGCATGGAGGACTCTCCTCACTCGTGGTTGTGTTTCTCGTTCTGCATCCGTGTGCCCAGAGACGTTTCCCTCTCACGCCCATACTCTGTGTACCCGGGAAGGAAAGCATCTGTAAAGAGCTCTTTGCTCTTTCTCTCCAGTTTGCTTTTTTTTTTTCAATACCAGGGAAGTTTGGTATGCACTCCCTCGAAGATGGAGAGCAGCCAGTCTCCACCTGGTCAGCGCCCAGGACTGGACTGTCCTGATGGGCCCTCATGGGGCCTAAGGAGGACTGTCACTGCCCAAGGGGACCTCCTCCCTTCCCAAGGGGCACAGACCTCTTAGAAGGAGCTCTGAGGGACAGCAACGCAGCTGATTCAGCAGTGCCTACAGTTCAGTCACTGGTCTCTGCTCTCCTCCAGTCGGTTTGTGGGAATCTGGCAGTAACAGGGGGCCAGCCAGTGTCTTTGAGGATAGGCCCTACCCACCCTTAACTTAGGACACCATTTGTTATTTCTGCCCAGAATTTCTGAGCCAACCAAGGCCTCTTCTATAGCTAGCTTTAATTTCAACATAATTGTATTTTCTAATAGGAGCCTCCTCACCCCAGGACAGAAGGGGAACTGCCTTGGACAAGGAACTCTTGTTTGTTGGCGATTCCTGGGACATCCCCCACTTCTCCAGGTTGTCCCAAGGTTATGCACCGTTAGATGAGCATGGGCAGCTGCCATCTGCCTCCATCCGAGTCGCACACCCATATGCACACACAGTCTTGTTTGCATATAGATCACCCTTCCCTCCTCGCTACCACCCGGGAAGTACACAGAGCCCCTGGAGAGCCCACATTACCTCTCTGTGCGGCCCCTGCCCTGGCTGGTGAGACCTGCAGGGGCTGGTCAATTCTGTCCCGAGAGAGATGCCCCTTCTGTGGCTGAGGTCTGGCCCTGTTGGCACCACCTTGGCTCAAAGTGTTCTAGTGGGCTCCCCTCGTGCCCCCCCACCACACACACACACACACACACACACACACACACACACTCATACAGGGAGTCCGAGAGAGTTGGACTGCTCACCGGGAAGACAAGGACGCAGGTGCATTCATGTTACATTTTCTTCTCTGCTCAGGGCCACTAGGCAGGATATGATGTTGGAAAGGCCAGAAGAGTCCATAAACCACAAAACTTAGGGGACAGTAATGACCTCAAGCTATGCCTAAGAATCCCCAAATGTGTTCCAGAAACATCATCTTGCCTCGTGGGTCCGAGAATTTAATTGGTGTGGAGTATTACGTGTTTTTATCAGGTGCCTCGTGTTTCTGGGTTCTGTCTTGGCTCAGTACAAACATTTTAGTTATTCTGAGCCAGTTTTTACTTATTCTTTGGTCCAAAGAGCATTTTGTTTCATGGGGATGGGGTGTGGCTTGGTTTGGTTTTTGTTTTGTTTCGTTCATAACCTCAGCAGAGACAGGGAAAGAGAAACTAATATATTTTATAATATTAATATAGTCCCTGCTCTCTGCACTTGGGATATTTGTGTTGTGTTTGTGGAAACAGGAGTTTGGTGAGCACACGTTGGGTTGTGTGTACTCCCAGATGGAGTGGAGGGGTTTCATAGGGGAGAAGAGGGAATACAGAGATCAGGGACAGGAGACGCGCACCAGAGAGCTGTGTGCGGCCCCCTCCCCCGGGACCTCTGCACCTTCTGAGTTTTCTGCTCAGAGCCGGGGAACCTAGAGTCTCAAAGGCCTCAACGCCGAACTCCCGATGTGCGGTACAAGCAGCCCTGGGGGATCGTGGCCACGCTGCCCGAATATCCTCTCAGGGAAGGGTCTCCTCTTCTGCGGGGGAGCCAGGTGGGCAGGCAGGAACCACAGCTCCAGGTTCTCCATTCACCAAACTGCGGAGTGTCCAATAATACAATTAAATACTAAAGAGTCATAGGTTCATCTTTCCTCCGCCAAAGAGAGGGAGTGGCTAAGACATGGCAGCAGTGTGACTGGTGGCATTTCAGGCCTCGGGATCCTTGGGAAATCCTTGGAGGGCTCAAGCCTGTCTGCCCCCGGGGTGACTGCCCAGCCAGCAGCCTGCCCCAGAGTGGCCGGGGGCGGGAACTCCACCAGCACATCCCTGTGTGGCCTCCCCGGTGAGCACAGTGCAGTGTCTTCACCCGAAGGAGCGAGGAGAGAATATGTTTCCTTTGCTATCACACAGAAATCTTAGAAAGTTTGACAGGTGCTGGAAAAGCCAATTTGATAGGCTCTTCTGGAGGACTAGCATTTTAGCCTAAGAGTAAGATTATGTACCCACCACATCCCTTCCTGTTACCATGCGTGGCTCCTCGCAGCCAGAGAGCACGTGTTTGTGGAGCTCAGCACAGTCACACAGCTGAAGTGCATTCCTTTCCCTCTGCTCCCACTGGAGGAAGTTAACCCAGCTTTGGTTAACCAAGGAGGCAGGCTCTTAAATGTTAGTACCTGATGGTGACGGTCCTGCGGGGAGTGGTGGTCACTACCCCTTGACACCCCTACCTGTGTAGCTATACCTGTCAATATCTGAGTTCCCCATGCAGTGGGGCAGACAGTGTACAGAGTGTCCCAAACGTGGCCTGGGCGAAAGCCACTCTTGCTGCTTGGTTAGGATATGCTGGTGACTCAGCTCTGGGGACAGATTCACCTCTCCCTCCTGGTCTGACCAGGGCGCACCAGACCCCACCCCACCTCCGCCTTCTCAGACGCGAGCATTTCAGGGAGCCGCCGTCAGCCTCAGGTTCCCGAGTGTAAGGAACACCCCGGAGGCCAATGCCTGGAGCCCACTCCCCTCACCAGAGCGGGCTCCGGGGGTCCTGGGCCCACCCTGGGGCTGGACTCCGAGGCCCTACAGACGGCGCTGCTTTGAGAACATCATCCATCCACACCGGCCTCTGATGGTCCCAGAGTAACCTACTACCTCCCCCATCGCTCCTGTCAGCCCCATGCCCCATCTGCACACTGATGAAACCCACCCACCAACCATTCTTGGGTCCCTCAACCAGGGGTGTGGCCATGACCAATGTTTACAACCAAGGCCACTTCCCCTTAGATGTGTTTACGCTCTCGCTCACAAGGCAGGCCACGCGCAGGTGTGAGTGGGGCTGCTCCCGCCCTGGCGTGGCCGACTTGCACACACACACACACACACACACACACACACATGCAACCCTGAATCTCCGCCCCCTCCACGCAGGCAGCGCCGAAGGACCGTGTGGGAAGGAAGTTTCTTGTACATAGCTCAGCCCCCAGAGTATGAACTTGTACTATTGTTCTGTAAAGAAGATGGAATAGAGCTTATTATAAAGCACTGGGAGACGTATAGTATTGTATTTGTAACAATATTGTTCTTTGTATACACGAAACTCAATGATCTCTATATATAAATATAAATAAGTGTATAAATAAAGTATATATACGCGCGAGCCTGGAACGTGGCCGCCACCGCACACCCACTGAATGTACTCCCTCTGACAGTCTGGTCCCTGGCCGCCCTGCCCTCCGTAGCGTTTTGGGGGTTGTGATGTATGTAATGTGTTACCTTTATTTAACGGAACGCTAATGTCTGTAAGAGTTGCTGCAACAATAAACAAGAGCTTCACCTCTTGGCCCCGGCTGAGCGACTGCCTGGGTGTTCCGGGGGCGGGATGGGACCCGGGTAGCCGCGGATCTGTCTCCTGCCCAGCGAGCCACCTCCTGCCCCTCCTGTCGCAGGGGTGTCCAACCTTTGAGCGTCTCTGGGCCACACATTAAATACACAAACACTAACAAAACTTGATGAGCAAAAAAAGGGGTTTTAAGTAAATTTACGATTTTGTGTCGGGCTGCATCCATAGCCATCCTGGGCTGCGTGCGGGCTGCGGGCTGGGCACCCCTGGGAGCCTGCACGATGCCCGGAGCCCAGGTGCGTTCCAACTGGGAGCATTCTGTGAAACCAACTCGGTTTTAAACACAGTAGAGAGACTGTCACCTGTCACCACACTCTCCTCGGCCTCCTTAGAGCGCACTGCCTGGAAGAAGGGAACCCTCTGGATTTCTCAGTGGGAGACAGGAAGCAGGAGTTTGTTACCTCCCCCAAGGAATCTGGGACGAGGGGGTGGCCTTGGTGAAGCAGACGGTCAAAGGGAGCTCTGCCTGGAGCCTACCTGAAGGCTCCAAGGACTTCCTGGAAGGCTCTCCTTGCAATCCCAGTTTTTGAAGCTTGCCCTCATGACCTCTCTGCTGCCAGGAGTGTGCTGGGGACATGACCCCAACCCAGAGTACCTAGTCCTGTTCCTAAAACAAAATGAACTTAATGCTTTTTCTCTATAAACACCATTAACCCATCTCCCCTGTGAAGCAGTCAGCCCCGAGGGTCTGGCAGTGGGGGCTGCTGTTGTCAAACTTCCCCAAGCTGGGAGACCCAGGAAAGGGTGGCAACTCCAGAATTATGTCAGGAGTTTGTTAATGGAAACTCACAGACAAGCGGAGTTGGCGGCAGCAGTGAGTCAGTGGGTTTCTGCACACAGAGGGGACAGAGGCCAGATCTGTGTAGCCAAGGGCACAAGCTAACCCAGGGGGCTTGCAGCCACTTGGCGAGGGCTGGTTAGGAGTCGTTTAATCCGAGGCAGTAAACGTGAGCCTTCCAAACTATGCGGGAACATTCCTTTCAGGTGATACGGGTCCACCCCTCCCAGAGGGAACTGAAGGTCAGCTTGCATCATAAGATGGCAGTAGAATCATTTCTCCTAACTCCTCCCCTCCTGACTGGCTCTCAGAACCTCATGTGACCCACCGCCCTTCCACGATGGCCCCCACACCTCTAAGGGGACAGAGCAACATAGATGTCACTTGTGATGTCAGTCCACACTGTAGACAAAGGCCACAACAGCAACATAAACACATTCAAGGGAAAAAGTAAGCAATGATGACAGAACAAGGAAAGGTTGTTTCCACCAGGATTCCCAAGAGCCAAACCAATGGAAGAACAGCTCTCCAGAAGAGCTAAGCCGAGGTGCATGCCCACACACCCAGCAGCAGGGAACCAGACACTGGAGCATGCCACTGAGCCCATTACAGGAAGAGATAGGTGCAGAGTACGTCACCTAAAAGCAAGAGCCTAAAAAATCAAGAGGCTAGGGGCAAACAAAAAGATGTTTAGTTGGAGCCTGTAGGGGGGTCTTCTCCTTCTGTTATAATGCCAGTAGGCTGACTTTGGTGGCCAGCTGCTGCTGCAGGCTTCTGAAAAGGTGGGGCATGCCTACTGCTGACCTCAGGGACTGGGCACCTGATCCCAGTGCAGGGCCGTTACCGGCCGGGATGCCGGGTTAAGATTCATACTGGGTGCCTGTAAGTATTTCTCTGGCTGCTGGAATGCACAGGCAGGCTGCAGAGGTTCAGCTTCCAGGAGGACAGGAGACGACTTAGGACAACAGCAGGTGCCTCACTCCGAGGCAAAAAAACACTGAGCCCAGCCAGCTGGCACTCTCATTAAAGCCCAACCAGTTTCACCTTGTCCTGCCAGTACCCCAGGTGTGACTGCGTGCACCGCCCCCTTCCGCACCCGCAGAGCCAGGGCTTCCCCAGGTGCTCCCCATCTGTCGTCAGCACGGCAAGTCCAAGGACTGAGTAAGCGTTAAAATGAACTAAAGCTGGTTCCACCACCGTCCTCCACCCAGCCAAGGAGCCTTTTCTGAACAACTGTTGTATCTGTTGTTTCAGCAAAGTTGTTTTTCCTTTCTGTTACCCTGCGGCTTGAGGGTTGTGTGGAAATGGAACCTCCCCACCGTGTCATGACCGGGCACCCGTGGTTGACAGTCTCGACCTCTGGAGTGAGGTCCCGGATCTGTGCGACATGGGTGTCTGCTCCTCGCTCAATTTTAGTGACCCTTTTGTAGTTGCCTTTGATTTGCCCGTCTGCAAGGAAAAACCTGTGGCCAGGCAGCTGCAGCCATGCAGGTGAGAGCGGTTTTGAGCCTTTGCTAGTAGGCGAGGGGCCGAGGTAATCTGCCACCAGGCTTTCACTGGGTCGGTCGTTGGCTTTACGCATAGGCCCAGGTGGATGAGGCAGCTTTCTTGGTCGTAAACGGGAGCAAAGCTGGCAAACTTCTGCCAAAAAACCACTGCACTTACAGGCAAACCTGCACCCCCTGCGATATGGCATTCTACTCCTGCCCCTGCAAGTCCACGTTTCTGACGGGCCCCGGGGGCTACATCTGCATCTCTTGTTTGGCACCGAGGCTCTAATCTGGGCCAAGGCATCTGCTTCCAGATTACCCCACGGGGAGAAACGTCAGAAGGGGCAGGGACAGGACACAGTGAGATCCGCACTGGGGGCCTGCCGGCCGCCCCAAATCTCCCCACAGCGTGGCCGCAGCTGCCGGGTCACAGGCTTTTCCTTGCAGATGGGCAAATCAAAGGCAACTACAAAAGGGTCACTAAAATTGAGCACAGAGCAGACACCCGTGACGCACCGATCCGGGATCTCACTCCAGAGGTCGAGACTGTCAACCACGGGTGCCCGGTCATGACACGGCGGGGAGGTTCCATTTCCACACAACCCTCAAGCCACAAGGTAACGGAAAGGTAAACGTCTTTGCTGAAACAGCAGATAGGAAGGTAGCTGCCCCCGCAGGGGTTTTCCTAGGAGACTTCATGGTGGCGTAGGAATCAAGTTCCCTGGGAAGGGGCTGATCAGCGCCTGTCCGCTAGTTCTCAACACAATGGGCTGGGTCGGGAAGGGACACACCCCCAGCCACCGTCCGCGGCACCAGGTGGGGCTGCGGAAGAGCCTGGAGGGAGCACGAGGCACGTCTGCCGTGCTCTTTCCCAGGGAACCCCGCTTGTTTGCCTCCCAGCGCGGCTTCGCAGAGGTTGCCGCTGCGGGGCCTCTACATCTTTCCTCCTCCTAGGTTTCCAAAGCCGCAAGCTGCAAGTCCCTGTTTGGTGTTTCATTCCTCAGCCTTCCTAGCTCAGTGAGTAGCCAAGAGGGAGGTAAATAAAAACATACATCCTCTTCCAACTGGAGCTCCCCTCCAGTTTCCTACTGTCCACCTCAGCCTTTCAGAGGGGTCGGCTACCAGGCCCTGGAGCGGCCATCTCCACCCTCCCTTAGCACCGGTCGGCCCGAGCCACCCAGCAAGCAGCGCTGGAGTCCAGGGGTGTCCTCCGGTGTCCTGCACTCACCAGGTGGGCATCTCACACTCCCGCAGCAGGCCACCAATCCCACTCAGAGGTCAACGGCCAGCTCCACATCTCCCTCTCGGAAGTTTCTTTCCCCTTTTCTAGCTCTCCAGTCATCTGGCTGGCTCCCCAGTTGTGAAAATATCCCAGGGCCAGCCAGAGACTCAAACCAGAGGCCGACCACCTTAGGGACAGAAGCCAAATCTTAGGGACCAAGAGGCTGGTGGATTTCCTTCCCCACGAAAGGGAAGGCATGCTGTATGGGGCCATGTGCTTGTTAAACTCTGTGTAATCCAAGGCAGTAAACAACATAATGAGCCCATTCACGGAGGCCAGAACACTCCTTTCAGGTGATGCGGACCCACCCCTCCTAGAGCGAATTGGCGGTCAGCTTGCTCTGTAAGACGGCGATGGTCCCAGCAACTATGGGTATCATTCCATATAACATCCGCTCAGAGCCCTAGAAGGCAGAGCTTGTACCTTGTGCCCCAGGGGACCCCCTCCTGCCTCTGCTTCCTCTCCCAGAAAACAGATCTCGCCACACAGAGATGTCTGCTGCCAAGTACAATGGAAAGAAAACACATCTCCCCAATGTAGGGAGAAGTCCCAACTTGGAGACTAACAGCCGGTCTTCACAGCACCTCACAAGTGCTGGCTCTGTTCCCAGTGCCGCACACAGATTCACTCAGTGAACGCCCAAAGCAGCTCTTAAGAGGCAGATGCCACAATTATGCGCATTTTATAGATGAGGAACTGAGGCACAGAGTTCAAGGCCTTACATTTATTTTTCTAAGTGCCCTGTTCCATCACTGATGAACCCAGGATCATATGTTTTCACCTCTTGATTCTTACAGTGCTTCCTTTCCCATTCTTTTGCAAGCCTCAACATCCTATCCATTCAAAGCTGCACACCCCCAGGCGAGACCGGAGTGGGCTTTGCTTTCCCACGCTCTCTGGGCATTCCCTGTAGGCTGTGGGTGGGATGGATGGAGAGTTCCCCACTTCGGGAGTTGCCCCTGGAAAGGTCACAGGCCTCTCCTCGTCTGGGTCCTTCTGCCAATCCAGTTCACTGATGAGGGGCCCGATGCAAACACAGGTGAGAGACCCCAGGCACTGGGGGTTCCTCAAATCCTCACCCCCACCCTCCAGCTGATCCCTGAGAACACAGTTCTCTAAAGTGTATACACCGGAGCTGTGTCCCCAGCAAGCCTGCAGCCCACAGTCTCACCAGCCGCGGGCCCGTGAGGTGTCTACCTTCCTCACCCCTGGGAGGGAAAGGCGGGGCACCTGACCCTCTCGCTTGGCCTTGCCACGAGCCACCGGTCTCCACAGACAACAGCGCTGTGCTTTCCGCCGGGCCAGTCCCTCCCCCACGTTTCCGTAAGATGGACCCAGGAACTAACTTCACAGGGGCTCGGACTCAGGCTCC